GGGAGCGGGGTGCAACATGTTTTGTACCTCATTGCTGCTCTGGTATATGAGCCTGCTGAAAGCAAAGAGGTCCCATAGCCAACAAATGAACAATGGTAATGACAGCACTAGTCGTTACAATGTTACAGTAACCATGACAACAGTGTCCACATGGCCGATTAGCTCAATTATAGGTATACATCTACGTCCACGACGGCCGTTGGTTGCTTTCATGTGCCATGTGCCTCTGTGCACGCAGATACAGGTGCCAATGTGACATAGACATATAAGAATGCATAGCACGTACACAAACACAAACAGAGATGCATGGCTGCGTGCGTGTCTGTATATATAGATACATACATCTATGCATGTATATGAGTATATGATGTCGGCATGTACACTTCCCCGTACACTCATATACATATACACGTAAGCATACATATACATACACATACATCTACATGTACATGTTTTACTCACATACGAACACGCATAAACATGTACCTGCACATACGCATACACATATTCATATATATATATATATAGATAGGTGTGCATCCACATATCTGCATATACATACATAGGCATGCATACCCGTACATGCACATACATACAAACACATACAAACACATGCAAACATAAACAAACTGAACACACCTGTGCACATACATACAGATACACACACATGCATAAATACATACACACATACATGTGCACATACAGACAGACGCGCATGCACATGCACTTGTAGGAACATGTACACATGCACATACAAATACACGTACACAGACACACATGCAGACGTACATACTACATTACATCAACACAAACAGACAAACACATGCACATACACATACACAGACACACACCTACATGACGGACAGACACACACACACATACATACATACATACGTACATACACAAATACATACATACCTACCCATCCACCCATCCATCCATGCATGCATGCATACATACATACGTACACACTTATATATACATATATATATATACATATATATATATATATATGTTACATACATGGATATATACATATATATGTATATATACATATACATATACATATACATATACATATACATATACATATACATATACATATACATATACATGTATACATACTTATTTATTTATTTGTATTTATATGTGTACATAAATAATTACATACACACATACAGACATGCATCCATGTATGCATACTTACATACGTTGCATGCATATGCATACACGCATATGTATGAGTGGATGGATGCATACTCATATTCACGCATCTTGACCGGATTACCCAAAGACATGTACAGTTCCTGCAATGAATGAGCGCATGCGCGAGATGCGAGCGCACACACACACACATGCACACTCATGTGTGTCTGCAATTTTGAGGGGGACCGTTGCTGAGACATCTGCACATCTTCAGAGCTTTTGGGGCCTCCCGGCACTGTGACGGAGAGGAAGCCGTGGCCGCCACCGGCAAAGGCGAACGTGACGGCTTTTTTCCTGTCACCGAGAGACAAAGAGATTCGAAGACTGGAGAGTGGTGGTGCTGGTACAGGTGCTTGCCCTGCTGCAGCGTAATGCGGCTACATCCCGACTGTCATATCATGCGGCAATGAAGCCGGAACTTTCCTCGAAAACTTCTTTCGGGCCTCATGGAGTTCGCCGTGACGGACAGCTGCCAAGTCTTGCCGACAGCCCAGTCCTTTCATTCCGGGCTTCAGAGGAAAACAACTGCAAGGCTGAGGAGGCACCGGAGTAGAAGGAAGGCTTCGGGAAGCAGGCCTATCATGAATGAAGACCCAGCCGATTAAATCGGAACCCCCCCCCATTTCAGAAGGCTGAGCCTCCGTGAAGCCGCCAAGCTTCGGGAAGGAGAAAAAACGGTGGCTATAAGTCGGGAACAGAAAGGCAAACCCCTCAACCCCAAATTACCAAACCCTGACTGAACCCCAAACCCTTCAGGACACTAAATTCATGAACCCTAAACCAAAGGTTCTACGTCGCTCTGAGTCCTCTGAGCCCTCGAGTGCGGCTCGCAGCTTGGCCGGGTCCTTAATCTGCGAGCAAGTACTACATCTTCCAGATACTATGATGATGTATTTTGCAATGTATACACTTATCAGTATAAAAATAAACAAATATGTATATATATATATACATACATACATACATATATATGTTTGATTTATCTGTTTATTTATATGCTATGTGTATGCATTGGCTGACAGATATATATATATATGCACACACAGACACACATACATACTGCTATCATTGCACTTGCCTCGGTCACAAACCGAAACCGGCCGTCTTCACTTCCAAGGCCCGCACAATGATGTCAGCAAACTGTGCCTCGAGAAGGTCATTGGAGCACGCTTGTATTGGCAGCATGACGATGTCTCGACTTCATATTACGGCAGTCCCCAGCCCATGTCGCCAGGGGTAGGGCAACCAATACCAGGGAAAGATTTACGATCAGCACCCGAAAGCCTAAACTCTAATCACAAGGACCCTAACGGGGTGTAGGGAGGTAGGGAGCCTTAATACCTATAAAAGGGACTTAATAAGGCCTATTTAAGGAAGTATAGTCCCCTACCCGAATGATCTAACCAAGAGCCAGGAACAAGAGCGTTCACTATCTCGGAGCACGTATGGTGGGGTATGCGCCTTCCCGAGGGTCTTGTACGGGCCCGCTGCCACGTCATCGGGCAGCACGTTGCCTGCGCGTTTCGACAACCATGGAGCAGGGATAAGAATAGCAAGAATGATCATAATTAATAAACGTGCTTGTAATAGAAACACTGCTCGTCATAGCAATAATACCAATAAGAATGGTGCTAGTTCATGGTAACCATCACAAGTTTAATAGGGGGATTCCTGCAACTGGCTCAATCCATCCCTGCATGAATGCGACACGGGCGGGCACAGGCATGAATGAAGAGTCTTGCAAGCTTCCCTGGAGCTTTCCAAGGGTCCTAGCCCGCAGCACCAGCACAAACCCTGGCCTTCCAGGGGCAATATTTCGGAGTTAGGTTCAAGGTTTAGGATTTACTGTTTCGGGTTTCGGGCAGCACCCCTCGTGCCAAGTTTCCAAAACTGGCAAAAAATATGAAAACATCACCACCGGCCGCACCGCCTGGGCATGCTGGTGCTTCCCTGTCCTCGCTGGTGACCTGCAGAATCCCCAAAGATCGCTTCAGGGGTTAGGGCTAGGCTGTAGGGTTTGGGGTTTAGGGGTGCCAAGTTTCAGGGTTGAGGATTGCTTGGGGCCTGTTGCGGATCCGCTCTCATATGCTCCGCGAGAGGCTTCATGACGGCAAGACAGCCTGGCTCGGCTACAACCACAGACCCCCGGCTGTTTGTAAGAGACTCGGAAACTGATTACAGGAAATCGAAAACCTCAAGGTCTCAACTATGAACCCCGAACCGAGCCCACAACCTAAACTCTCTACCTTGAACCATGCAGGCTAAACCCTAAACCCTAAAGCCCTATACACTAAAGCCATAAACCCCAAAACGCTCAAAAGAACTACCAGTACAGTCCCAAACCCTAAACCCTGAACTCTTGTCCCCAGACCCTCATCTTCAACTCAGAGTCTGGGGTGACGGCAGACGAGCGCATGAGGAACTTTGCAGCCCATGACGGCGCCAGCAGCAGCACGAAAAGCTGGCGGGAGCTACAGGCTCAGGGCTCAGACGGGCTCGGGTTTTCGGGTTTGTCGCTTGCCTTTTGTTTGAGCGCCTTTGTCCGTCTGCCTAGAAGGTAAAGTAAGCAGAAGGCTCATTGTAGGGTTTTGCATGTTGTGTTTTTTCGGGCTCTGCTGCTGTCGCTACTTCTACGGCTGATACTACGAAGATGAGAACGAGAGCACCTACTTGCTTCCTACCGAAATTTGTCTTGATACAGTTACCCCAGTGGTGTTGACCGCGACTGTATGTTCCGGATTCTGAATTAGTATCGCTGCTTGATGCTCACGATGGGGCCAGAAAGTAGGATCAGAATACTTAGCATGACCACCTCGAGTTGGCTCCCTGAAATCCTCAGCTGGTTCGAGGAAAGCCGAGCACATGCTGACTCCTGAACGAAAAGGGATGCCTGCAAGCCACAACCCCTTGCTCGAAACGAAAGAGCCCGAACCCTCAAAACCTCCCTGGCCTTCATTGCTTGCATTGGAGCCACCGCTACTTTTGCGGTTTGCTCACAGTGTTGAGCCACGGTATGGCTGTTGGCGGAGGCGGCGTCGGGCAATATTCCGTAGGATGGCTTCCGGATTGATGGTTTGGAGTGTTGCGGCTAAGCCGTGGCCCTTCAAGCTCCGACTGTACGATCGAGCTTCTAGACTGCCCCGAATGCCATCTTCTGCTCGGAAAAAATCCAAATACATAGGGAGCGACTTCTGAACATGTTGTGCCACACGTCTGTGGACAAAGCGGAAGAATAACGATGGCTTCAGACCCGCATCGAAAAAATGAGAAGGCAAAGGTGGAGTGGAGTCTGGGTACGCGAAGTCACATAAACGACCCCGCCCGAGGATTTCTTAGCAGTAGTCAGCCACGAGGTACTTGTCTTTCAGGGCTCAGAGGTTCATAATAGTATCAGGGCATTGATAATTAGACTAGGGATTTGGGCACCTTATATTAGATTTATAATAAGGAACCTTAAGGAATAATATCATTTAGGGCTCTATAATATAGACATACGGCTCAGGGTCTGCTGAAACCAGACGAGTGCCCTCTTAGCCGCTTAGCCTTTATCCGACCCACAACTATTGGGGATTCCGACATCCGACAAGATGCTCAAGGAGTCGAAATTACCAGCTATGGTCTGGGATTGTGCATTTGTGAGGCAAAATAGTTCGGCAAACTGGCACTGCGATTCGCCACCACACCGAAAAGGCTCGCAACGCCTGAACCTGAATCGCACTCCTTACCGATGAAGAAAACTTAATCACAGAACAAGTCAACCTCCAAACATCGCTGGCTCCTCCTGTGCTCCAGGCAAGCTTCTCAAGCATCTCCGCGCGCAACATGCCGCGCGACTTGTCCTCTTCTTGTACCAGTGATGGGGTGGTGGAGCCCCTGCTAGTACGCGCAAGCGTCCCACTTGTGATGGCGAGTAAATGGATTCGTTGAAACTTCAGGTGCCACTCAGATTTATAGCCAGGAACAGACTCGGACAGCAAGCACTTGTTATAGTACGTATGTATATGTATATGTATATGTATATGTATATGTATATGTATATGTATATGTATATGTGTATGTATATGTATATGTATATGTGTATGTATGTATGTAGTAATGTAGTGTAAGTATGTATGTATTATGTATATATCTATGCTGGCCTCCGCTTGGCAGCAGGCGATCAGGACAGCATGTGGTCGCTGACCGCTGCCCTCGGAAGCATCCCACCCATCCCAGAAAGTTCGTTTGGTTACCAGGCCTGCATAAATGCACAAATCCTGCCCGATTCGCAGAGCATAACATGGGCTAGTTCGCGACTAACTGTAAGAGGACGAAGTTGAAAGAAGCCACAGAGCTGGACTTAGTTTCAAGCACTGCGCTAGGGCGGCCTTGCCATCGCAAAGACGAAGCGTGATACGCATGAAACTCTGACCGTTCGTGAGCCATCGCTGTCGCCGTAGCAGACCGTTGATGATGACAGTTATCGGCTCTCGTTGCAATTTAACGGACAAGGGCCCAAAACAAAGAAATCGGCTTCAACTGGCTTAAGCGAACCCTCCCGACCCTCAATCCAGGTCCCACCAAGTTCCGAGCTTAAGTTTCCAAACCCTTGAGAAGCCTCCCTGAGCCTGCGACTAGCTCGCAAGGTTCGACTGGAAACTGAATGAAGGCCCAAGGGAACCCCGAACCCTCTCTTTGCTGAGGTTGGGGACCGAGTTCAGCAGCTTTCTCACTGCCTGGCTCATGATACGCAAGGGCTTACTCGGAGGATCATGGGACTTAGTAAGGTTATAAGTACCTTAATTGGGGAGATAAGTAATTATCAGTATAGTTACCCTAATTATAACTCCAGCTACTAAGTCCCATGATCCTTTAAGTACATCCAATGGGGGACTGGCTTTGCAGTTCTTCCCGCCGAAGCTGGTCTAACTTCCAAGCTTCAGTCTCGTCGTCAGCATGCAGGATAGATTAGAAGGGGCCCCCACCCTGTAATAGTGGTATAATAGGAATATGATAGGGCCCTCATATAATCCTTATAGTCACTATTACAGGGTGGGGGCAGCTTCTAGAGGATAGACGTCTACCAGATGGCAATCAACACAGCACTGCAGCTGTAGCCAAGCCAAGCTCAATGTTGCGCCACGGACATAAGCCCGTGGTCTCGGGAAGACTGCCAAGTTCAGTGACCCTTCCCCTATCTGGTCCGAGACCTCTGTGATGCTACAGACCCTTTGCCAGAACACCCAGGGTGCTCTACAGTGCAGCAGCTCAGCTTCCAGCGTGGTAGTCTTCGATTTCCGCGAGCTGAAACAGGACCTGCCGACACGACGAAGATCCGTCACGACGAAGATCCGGCCCTGGAACGGCTGCACGTCAAGACTCAAAAGTAAGGACCCCTGCAGCCACGACTTCAACTGGATCATCACCCACATCACCCGGCGCATGCCAAACTCTGAACTCGCAATCCGAAACCCCTTAAAACACACGCCCGAAACGCTCAAAAGCCTAGAACACTACAGTAGTATATTGAAGGACATGAACAAGAACGAGAAGCCTCAAAGAACGACGACGCAGCAAATCAAGGGACAAAGACGCGAGTAGCAAAGTGAGCATACGTACGTCGCCATTACCACTAGGTTGTTAATTAGTCATCATCGCAGCGATGGCGGGCTGACTGCCATGAAAGCAACCATACCTGTCACAATGATCCCACTCGCTTATATGGTAAACAGTGGATAATGCATGTTGAATGCGACCTCATGTCACCTCTTTTCCATAGTAAGTAGCGAACTGACGCACATGTGCTTCCCGGAAGTAGTGCCATCAAGAATGGCTTCATGATCATGTCATGATCCCGAGAATGATGACATGTGCAATAAATTCCAAATCTGAACCAAAGAAACAACATGATGGCAACAATAGCTCTGGCAATAAGAACATGACTCAAAGTACTAGAACGATAATTAACGGGAACAGCAATGGCCAACACCAAAGTCATTGTCATCACTGTACCTAGAACAACAGTCCACCGCACCAATAGCAGACCCTGCAGCGATGCCAATACCTAGAAACGCGACGAGCAGCAAAACCACCCCCCCCCCCCCCCCCCCCCCCCCCCCCCCCACCCCCCCACCCCCCGCGCGCACCCCCACCCCCCCACCCCAATTTCAGCGGGCGCCCGAAAAATTCACAACTATGCCCAATGTGCAATAACAACACTGCATGGAGACTCGAAGGACTCTGCATGCATGTCAAGAGTATTCCTTGGGTTCCTCAGTATGACCGCAGTGCAATATACCTCGAAACCCTGAACCCTAAAGTCCGGATGGCTGACACTGACTGACGAATGACCCTAAACCGCAAACCCTGAACCCTAAAAACCCGGGCCCTTGACCCTAAGCTCCAAGCCCTAAAAGGCCTCCAGAAGCCGAAGTGATGCCCAACCTTGGTCAGCCGCAAGGGTCTCGGGCGTGCAACCAGAAAACAGGTTCAGGGTTCAGAGTTCGGGGTTTAAGGCTTAGGGAGTTTAGGGCTTCGGTTTAGGTTTGGGGTCTTAAGCTTTGGGGATTAGGCCCAAAACCCCAGATCCCAAATCTAAACCTCTGGACAGACCCGAAACTCCGAATCCTGACCTTTCAATCAGACTCCAATCCCCACAAAAAACCCACATCCAAAAACCGCCAAGCCTGCACCCTGAAGCCCGAAAGCCATAAATCCGTTTACTCAGCACCCGGCAGTTTCCTGTCCCCGCAGTGCCGGGATGCCCCTGTGCTGCACGAGCTCTCTATGGGGTAAGCTCTGGGGGCTTCGGGATTAGAAGGCTTCAGGGTTCGGCAACAACGGCTTTAGCGCTTCAGGGCTTGAGGTTTCAGGCTGCTTTGAATTCCAGGGTTTTGGGCGTTCGGGATAGAAGCCGAGGGTCAAGGGAGGCTGACACAAGAAGGTTCCTTCTGTTGTGTAGCAGCCTGTGCGTGAGCCTCTCAAGGGCTTGTCGATGTATAAGGAACGGACTTCCATGTAGCAGATAGTACCCTAATTACTATATATAGGTTCCTTATTATAATAAAGTACACTAATTAGTATAGGTTCTTTATGATAAGGACTCCAAAATAAGGTGGCTAGAAGAGCCTCCGGGATCCGGGGGCATTCTAAATGATCTAACCATCATCTCAGCACATCCTCGCACTCCCCACCACTCCACCGAAATGCCTGAACGCTTATCAAGAAACCTGAAGTTCTAATGAGCGACAGGCAGTAGATCCATGACCAGCAGCCCTCAATCCAATAGCACCAAATCGTTCCACAACCTGAAAGCTCCGGTAAATCGCTCAGAAATCGTGCAAGCTGAAGCCCAGCTTAAAAACCTATGCCCGCTCAACCTCGGCTCCAGGTAAGCCGTGAATAGGCTCCAGCCTGCCGAGCAAGAGAAGAGACACAGCCGTCTGCAGACTGAAGGACTCTGTTGTGCTGTAGTGTTCGTACTGTAAGCCTCGCCCTCCCAACAAATAGAGCGAAAAATGAGACTACCAAAACCTCATCGCCATCGCCATCATCACCACCACCAGCACCAACCAAAAGCACGAGAGCTGAGAGCAGGGCGGCTTGTGATTGGCGAAGTTGATTAACTTCGCGTGAATGTCAGACAAGCCACCCACCTCAGGATCGAGTCTACCACTGCTGCTCCGAATACAACTTCTGCAACTACTACTTCTTCTAGTACTACGTCTTCTACGTCTACTTCCACAACTACCACTACCGCTACTGCTACTCCTATCCCTACTCCTGCGCCTGCTCCGGCTCCTGCTGCTCCTGCTTCTACTGCTTCTGCTACTGGATCAGGCAGTCCCCCTGCTTTTTGTTTCTGCACCTGTTTATCGTTTGACCAGGATAGGACGCGAGAACACGGGCGAGTTTGAATCTCGGCTGCGGGCAACGAATCTGATGAACTGCAGCTGCGCCGTGGTGTTCCTGCGGCCGCGAACTCTCGACAGGAGACACCCCCCCCGATGGGTCTGCGGATTAAACCTACGTTGAACGCATCGCGTCATCCAGTCCTCCTCCGAGTTGTTCACCAAAGGATCCCCTAAACCCTAAGCCCTAAATCCCTAGCCCTGAACCCTAAACCGTAAACCCTTAGCCCTAAACCCTAAACCCTAAACCCTAGTGGGCTCTCAGTCTCCCGGTTCCAGCTACTGGCGGCCATGTGAAATGGCAGTCCTTCGCAGTCTCAAGACCGCCTCCACCGGGAAAAGAGCCTCTGCCAGCTTTGCGATTCAAAAGCTTTGGGTCACGAGCACCCTGCGTTGCTGAGACTTTCGGAGATGGTGCGTAGTGGGCTAGCATTCGGGATTTAAGTTCAGGCGTTTAGAGTTTTTTGGGTTTGAAGGCTGCAGGAAAGCTATGTCTTAGCATTCTACAGCATTCAACATGATGAACATGTGTCCAAAGCAGAGACGACTAATTAAGTTGTGTGCGCCTCGGTCTTCTCACCCTTGGAGAGAGGCTTCTGCACGTGCTTGAACGTGTTGAGCAGCGTCTGACAGGCACATGGCGTCAACTTCAAGCAAGGTTTCATCTATGCTCACAACAGAAAGAACCACAAACCCAAGCCTGTTAGGTTGAGCTCTTGGCTACCATAAAGATCGGGGTGCCAGCAAAACTGTATTCCTTCCGCAAAGCCTAGAGCCTTACATAAACCCCAAAAGTGATATACATTCATGGACCTATACCAATAAATAATACACGCAATAGTAGTTTACGTTATCCAAGATAACCTACTGTATACTATATCTAAGATATAAAATGGCACAAATCATAGAACAAATTTGAACACTAACACCGAATACTTTATATTTTTATATACACATGTATATATATATATATATATATATATGTATGTATGCATATATACATACATACATATGTATGTACATATATACGAACGATGTATATATGCATATATATATATATACATGTATGTATGTGTGTATATATATTTACCATTTTCTGGAGTGAGAGGCCTCCACCGACCGTTTGTTGGGAAGACGAAGTTCCGGCAGGTCGAACATGAGGTCGAAGACCTGCCACACGTGGCGCAATCAGGCCGGGTAGTCAGTTTGGGGTTCAGATTTGAGGGAGCTTTGAAGAGTGATGTAGGGTTTTGGGAATTCAGGTGGGTCAAACATCAAGTTTATGGTTCAGGAACCAAGGTTCATGCCGCCTTCAGCTGAACGGCGTAGCACCGTCACAGTAAAGTACAATAGACTATAGCCTAGTCTAAAATACGATAATCTACTATAATATACTATAACCTACTACAATATGCTACATTATGGTTGGGAAAGTATTAATTGTATAGCCTCTGCTTCGCTCAGGATCTTCCCCCTCGGGCCTCGTCCCAGTATGCCTTGCCGTCCTTGGCTCCCAGACAACCGCAATGTCGAGGTGTCTGTATGTGTGTATATGTATATACATATATATATATATACACGAATAAGTCACGGCTAGCAATCCGCGAATATGTGTGTACAAATATATATATATATATATATATATATATATATGTATATATATATATATATATATATTTATTTATTTATTTATTTATTTATTTATTTCTTTATATTTATATTTATATTTATACTTATCTATTTATATTTATATATTTATTTATTTATATGTAGATATAGAAGTGTTTTAACAAAAGGAATCTGCTGAGAAATGGCTGAGGGTCCTTGTGTCTGTGCTCCGTCACGGAGGATTTCAAGACATCCACAATCATCTCCATGGTCAAGGCTTGCCCCTGCAGATGTGTAGGGCCCATGTGGGGGTTTCCGAAAATTAGGGTTACCTTATTTGGGGGGTCCTTGCAATAAGGATCCTACTATTTAGGGTACTATATTAGGTTCCCCATTTTGAAAACTCTCACATGCTCATTGCTCATAGAAACCCCTGCTATGACCCAAAGGGACCTCTAAAATGGGATCCCTCGTCTCTGATTCCCACCTCGTGGGATCTCCAAAGCCAGGGCATTGCTGGTTCACTAGTGGCCAGTTGGACCCAAAAGGCCCTCAACGCTAAGCCCAAACCCCTCAACCCCAAAGCCTGCAGACTCTAAACCCATAACCCTAAACTGAAAAGACTCTAGATCCGGAACCTTAAACTGCAAGCTCATCAGCCGGTCATGCTTCTGCCATCCCATGCTGATTTGAGATCACCGAACCCTGGCCTCGGTCCCGGCTGCCACCTCAGCCAGGGCACAAGGATGCCAGTGGGGTTTAGGGTTTTTGCCTCTGGTTAGTAGGGACTGGAGGAATGGGGTAGAATTATAACTACTATTACTACCATTCTTCCATTCCCTACTAACCAAAGGAAAGTTTCGGGTGCAAGGCTTGGGGTTTCGGGTATAGAGTTTAGGGTATAGGGCTCGGGGTGTTAGGGTTTAGGCATGTTCGGGGCAGTTGTGTGCTACTCTCAGATCCCAGGGACATGCGGCGCGTGGAAACCCACTTCCCTCAGCTGCCAAGTGCCCGGCGGTTCCGTGCTGCCTGGCGATCGGAGTTGGGGCTACTGCAAGGAAATGCAGTGGTGTATTTAGGGCACTGGTATTACGATCCTTACTGGCACTTCTCCTCTTTCGGATATTCCCTTTCTTATGATCATTACGACTATTGCGACTATTACTATCAGAATCGTAGGTTTAGGGTTTGAAGGGGGCTTCACAAAATCGAAACATCCAGAGATTCGAAGAAAGGGTTCCGAGCATCGAAAATTCAAACGCGAGAGCTACCGCAAAAGAGCTGCAACCACAAACAGCACCGAGTTCTATAATACTATAGTGTATTAGGCATCTTATGGTATACTATAGTCCCATAGTATACCATAGTATACCATAGTAAGCTTAAATTATATAGGGCTTCATATTAGGATTTAAGCTACATTAAGGGGTATTGGGCTCTCTGGGTACTGAAGGGTTTAGGGTTCAGGCCCTTTAGGGCTTCACCCCTGCAGGCAACTTTAGTGCAGCTGAGTGGCCAGAGTTGATTCATCGTGTCCACGCCTTGCAGGGCGTAGGCTTCGGAATCAGTGCCGTTATATGCCTAGTATGCAAACGAGAATGGAGTGAGCAAAGTGAAACCGCCCCAAGCAATCAACAGGCTCTCCCCAAAGACCTAGCTTTGTTGGCACCCAGTGAAAGCAACACCGGAGGCGTTTTGAGGGCAGAGCAGTCCCAGGCATTTTGGGCCTGGGCATCCACATGCAAGGCTCTTAAGCGTACGACTCAGATTTGAGGGTGGCGAGGGTGGCGTGGCTGAGAGTTCAGGGTGTAGGCGACAGTCTAGGATTCGCATCTGAAGTTGCAAAGGGATTTTGGGTGTACTAGAACAGCGCGAACAAACCTGGACACCAAACCAGAAACCCTCCAGATTGCAAGCAGACCTGCGCGGTTTGGGATGCCTTTCTTCAGGCAGCCTCAGTTTGGGTCATTTTGGTCTTGAGAGTGGAACAGGGTCTGTGTGTTTAGGGTGCGTGAGGTTAAGGGAGGGACTTGAACACAAGACTACCCTTTCCTTTCAACCTGAAATCAAACGCACACTTGGGCCATGGCTGCGCACTTCGCAACGCCAGAAACTAACCTTTGCTCCGTTGGGCGGGTAGCAGCTGTTTCACAGCAAAGCTGAGAACTGCATAGTCAGAAAGTAGATTCAGAAATGTACTGCCAACACCGACAACAAAATAACGACCTTGGCATACAACGACAATGACGACGACGGTGGCCGACGACGACGGCGGGGACGAAGCATTAAGCCATCAGGGCTCGAGATCTCGTCATCGGCGTTTGCTCAAGGTGTTGCTTTAAGCCTCAGAGCTGTAGGTTGTGTCTACCGATCGCGGGAGCAGCACGTCACTGCCACTACCTGCCACTGTCTGGTCTTTCCAAATACACGAAAGTTTGAGCAGAAGTTGCTTTCATTTTGGCCAGATGTGGCTGTTTCGCCGACTTGGGTTCGTCTCCAAACGAAGCTTGTCACATCGCAGGTTCCCGATGGAGAACAGGCCTTGGTGCCCGCCCTGCAGCATCTATCTGAACGGGCGCATGACCGTCGAAATCGCTTGGCAGCTCGCATGATTATGAGATTGCCTTGCTCTGGCGCAGCATAAAGTGCCGAGGGCTTCTGTGGTTTGGTTATCTGAAGCAGCTCTTTTTCCCGCGATTCTCAGCCATATCCGTAGAGGGTCCGAAAATCTCTCAGCACATTTCTGCTGCGGCTCGGTTCCAAGCCATGAACCTGCAGCCACTCTGATCTCTCCAGGTCGAAACTTCAAGCTGCAAGCACAACCAGCACTCAAACGGGTGCAGAAAGCACGGGAACAAGCCCAGGCCCAAGAAACCCTAAACTATACAAACACAAACCCCTCAACCAAGTTTCAAAACCCTAAAGCCCATGAGCCCGAAAGCCGAAAGCGAAATCCCCGAGGCTCAAAATGCCTGGAGCAGTAGGCCCAGCTCTTCGTCTTCAAGCTGACCGCAGAGCACGTAGACGTGAGCATTCAAAGCATACCTTCTGCGTCTAGGGTTTAGGGTTGAGGGTTCAGGGTTTAGGGCATACCTTCACTAAGGTGTAAGACTTGCTTCAGCACGTTTTTCCTTTGAGGGGTTGGCGGTTTGTAGCTCGGGACTCTCTAGGGACTCTAGAGTTTTAGGGACTCTGAGGTTTGAGGGACTCTGGGGTTTGAGGGACCCTGGTGTTGAAGGATTTAGGAATTAGGAATTTCAGGGCTTTGGAATGTGGAGTTTAGTCCGCGCACCTCTACATCGATGGAGCCCACTAGCGAGTATAGGGACCTCAGAGTTTTGGGGGGTTATATCATAGCCAAGTTTCACCTGGAATATAATAAGGGATAAGTGGGACAAGTATGACAAGTTATGCATGCTTCTATGTTACGCGTGCTTCAAGCTGCATGAGCCGAGGCACGCTTCGTCCCAGAGCCCACCAGAGAAGAGGAACAAGTCCTGGGCAAGAGCCGAGGACAGGTCCCGTGAATGATATACGGGCAGGTTAGGGTTTAGGGTTGAGGGGTTTAGGGGTTTCGGGGTGTAGGGTTTAGGATTTAGGCTCACGGCCCCTAAGTTTAATGGGGACCCCGACGGGCAAGTTTCTGAAACGATGCAGCAGTTCTGTTTGAATTTGGGGCTCATGCCCCTCCGCCTACCTTCACCGCCCAAAGCCCCAAAAACCTCAAAACCTTCAAACCTTAAACCCGAAACCCTAAACCCGAAGCTCTGAACCCGAAACCCGAAATCGGTCGAGGAGCGGATCGAGCGACGAGGAAGCAGGCGTATCCGAGGCTCAGCCTCGGCTTAATTACTATTACTATTCTTATGATTATTACTACTACTCTTACTCTTGTCACTATTATAACTATCATGATTATTACTACTAGTATTGTTAGTAGTATACATGTGGTTTGGGATTAAGTTCCAGGTCTCGGGTTTTAGGGGTTTAGGGTGTAGAGGTTTCTTCGGGTTGGGGGATTCAGGGTTCAGAGGGTTTTTGGGGGGTTGACGGGTTTCGGGTTGATAGGCTCAGGGGCTTATGATGTAGGGCCTTGTATGGTTGAGTGGTTTAGAGGTTTACAGTTTAAGGGTCTCGTGGCGAGCATGGTGGAGCTTGCTCCTATTGATAAAGCTACTACGTGGCACGGTCCAGCACTACCAAATGCAAACTTGAAAGTTTAACCCCATCCACGCCCTCACAGCCCTAGCTAGTTCCTGTGCCCAACACCCTCAAAGCGATCACTATAAAGCCTCGAGAACCGTTCAACCCGAAAGGGGCCACTTTAACACCAACTCTAAATCAAGCTCTTTCCAGGAACCCTTGAGGTACGGGTCTTTGAACTGGAATAGGGCTTGGGGTATGCTCGAATATGAGTCTACAACAACTACAGCGGCATACTATTATGATTTAGTTAGACCCCCTCTTAGCTCTAAACTCCAAACTCCACAGCTTGTTCATGGCCCGAGCTGCAAAAAGTGGCCTGCATGGTAGACTGTCAAGCTGCCCCATTGCTTGTCATCTGGGGCGTCGCGGGTGACAGAGGGGGCCTAGAGTTTAGGGTTTAGATTTTCGGCCTATTTTCTGGACAGTAAATGGCTCGGGGATCCTGGGGTTCAGGGCTTGGGCATTGCGCATCTCGAAGATCGAGGGTTCAGGAATCAGTTGGGGTGGCTAGAAGGTTTAGAGCACGCTAGCCACTAAGTCTTGGGTGTGATGGTCGTTCTTCCACCTCCGACCGCGAATGCGTCCGATTCCCATCCTTCCTGCACTACAAATGTCCACGACCTTCTGAACCGGCTCAGCCGACCCTGAGCCCGAGAGCACGTACGTTTGGGGCTCCGGGGCTCTGTTCACATAACGGGGAAGTCAGAAGAATCGTAACATAGACCCCACAATAATGGGATCCTGGTTGCAAGGATCCCTGAACACCCGAAGTCCATGTGGAAAAACCCTTTGGGAAACCCTATGAGCCTCATGGAAAAGCCCGCACAACCCTAAACCCTATGAAAAAGCCCATCTAACAATAAACAAGCTCCATAGAACCGCCTGCGCAAACACAAAAAAAAGAAGGAACAGCTGCCCAAAACCCTTCAAGCAACCCCTAGACCCTAAACCCCGAACCCTAAACTCTAACCCCTAAACCCTCAACCAAAAACTCTAACCCCCAAGCCCTCAACCCCACACCCTAAGCCCTAAACCCCAAGCCCCAAACCCTAAACCCCTAAACCCTAACGAAACCCTAAACCCTAAACTGCTTCTTGCAGGAAGGAGTCGAAACTCGAAGAGTAGGAAGCGCACCAATCGCTCCTTTTTTGGGTCTCACCCATGTTGGCTGGGGTTTTATGCTTAGGGCTTGAAATACAAATACCATAGATGTATACATATATATATATATATATAATATGTATACACACATATGTGTACAGATAGATGGGGCTTTAGGATTTTGAGGGTTCAGGGTTCAGAGCATAAGGTTGGGGTTTTAGATTTAGGAATGTGTTTGAAAAAAGGCCTTTGAATGCATGCCAAACACGGTAGGACCTCCTACGTCAAGGCTGGAGCCCGGAACCGGCCGTTTGCCGCACGATGTACTATAGGGGCCTTAATCATTAGAATAGGGTTTTGGGGCCCATTATACCATAATTACAAACAGGAACCCCCAAAATAATTACAAAAAGGAACCCCCAAAATAATTACAAAAAGGAACCCCCAAGATAGTATCGGCACTTAGATAGGCCCGGATATGACTTCTGAGCCCTACAAACCCGAAACCCGCGGCTCCGTCAGCAGTGGCTCCGCCGACAGCAAACTTCGCTTGGACGCAGCCGCACCCCGAAGGAGCAGCAGAAAGCAACCTGGAGCCAGTCTAGGGTTTAGGGTTTAGGGTTTAGGGTTTAGGGTTTAGGGTTTAGGGTTTAGGGAACTGCAGGTACATGGGCTTCCACTGCAGAAACAGACTTTCAATTTGCAAAAGACCCGAGGCGCGAGTGGCTGGCCCAACACCGGGGCGGGGAGAACCGAGGCCTTCATACCTGAAGTACTGAACCTAGGAATGGAGACCTCCACAAACCTCCAAAACAGCAAGGCATTGAAAACTAAACTTTATGCACCTTGACATCCAGGAACGGACAAAACTCCCCTGACTTGCCTGGACCCACGAAATGTCTCCAAGCTGAAATACTGGTCGTGGGCGACGGTCATGTGGGGTCAAGCCACGGGGCTGTTCTTAATTACGGCCCAAACAAAACCCTAGAACCCCAAAAACCCTAACATCCCAAAGCCCTAAAACCCTACATCCTAAAACCTCACACCCTCAAACCCTAAACTCAACCCGAAAGGCCTGAGTTTGCACAGGATTTTTCCAGGAGATTGGGATCGGCCATGGCATGCGCGGAGCTTGGGTCCAAGCTGCCCTGCAATCGAATCCTTGGCATTAGGGGTGGATTTGGGATTTAGGGCTAGGATTTAGGGTCAGGATTCAGGTTAGGATTTAAGGTTAGGATTTCGCTCGGATTTAGGGTCTAGGGATTGCAGGAGCTTGGAGGTTGAAGTGGTGCGGGGTCATTTTTGTGGTTTTGCGCTTCCTACTTCTAGCGGCTGTACGAGATTTGAGTTTGGACATGCTTTCAGCTTGCGAATCCAAACAGCTACTGAAGCTTGCAAGATGAGGGGTACGGGATCGAATGGGCTTGAGGTGTCGCCTTTGGCTACCAATGCCTGGCAGTTGAGGTTGCGGAACTATGTGTGAGGCGTGTAACTATCTAGCTATCTATCTATCTAAACATCCTAACGACCCACCTACATACACACACACACACACACACATGGGAGGTGTTAGTAGCTATGGCTTGCTGCTTCGCAGAGCCCTGGCCCTTGAGCCCTTCCGTAGTGAAAGAACCCATACAGTACCCTGATACGTTGATTCATGATGTAAACCCTGCATTACACATAGTACGGAATATACCATACTTCCCATACTTTAGCCGTAGTACTGGTCCTTTTGCAGTACCCTTATACTGCCCCAAACCCCCCGAAAGCCTCAGCCGGAATTCTAAAAAACCCCATGGTCTGGATGCTCCGAGCCCTTCAACCCCAAGCCCAGAACCCTAAACCCCAAGCCCAAAACTGGCGTAAAACTGTAAAACCCAAACTTCAAGAACTGTCAGAACAGGAACTGGCCAGCAAAGCTCAAAGCCTTTTGCCGGCCGTTGCTGCCCAGGCGCCAGTCGGAGGTGACCCCCTGGCAGGGGAGACTTAAGGTCAGCCTACAAGGCACTCCAGGCCGTAGAGCTCTGGTTTTTCTGGGGCTGTGGACTTCAATCGTTCGGTCGGCTTCATGGTGTCAGATAGGAGGAAACTGGAGGAACTTGGAGACGATGCTGGCAATTTGGGAGTGAGGGTACCTCGCCCCGTCTGCCGTCTCTGGCGGCTCGCGTTCTGCATGTGTGTGGTTCGGAGGTGGCCGCATGTCTTTGCTGTTGCTTGCACACTCAGGGCTCAGTCCGTCGTCGGTGAGTCCTGCCATCGTGCTTCAAGCACGACTCGAGAACCGTATGCTGTCATACACACATCTCCTTGAAGCCGTTTCGCCACAGCAATCGTGAAAACCGGTGCCGTGAAACAACTGCTTGACTCCCATTCGGATCGGGGTTTGATGCTTAGGGAATAGAGATCAACCTTTACACACAACAAGGAGTCTAGCATTCTTATTATGGGTTGTAGCATTGCGAGTATTGCGAGTGCTGCGCATGCCATGCAGGGTAATAGCATGGCGAGTAGCACGACAGTAGAAAGGCTTTGAGACAGCATGCAGGGGTCATTCGCTTTGGATGCCAATTTCCTTGGTGGCCTGGATTCCAACTTGATTCTTCTGATACCATGGAAATCTTTTTAGTTCTCACGAAGCTTCCACTGCTTGCCACGTGCTGGCTACTACTAAGCCGTTGTTGTCTAGCGTGGCTTCCGAGCATTATGGATACTGCGAAAGCTGTGACTGTGAAATCTGCTCTGAGTTCGCCTGCAAGTGGAATGTTTCTGACCAAAATTGCGATGTACATCATTGTGGCCCCACAGACATATGCTGACACGGTAGCACTACCACTGGCGTAGCCAAGACATTCGTGCTTGCGACATGTTATCCCGAAAGTCCGCATCCTGAGCCGCGAAGCCCTGCAGTTCAAATCCGTAGCTCTGAAACCCTCGGCGCCTGCAGAGCCAGCGGATCTGGGCAGGAGTCCTCACAAGGGTTTGGGGTTTAGGGTTTAGGGCTTCAGGGTTTGAGGGTTTGAGGGTTTAGGGGTTTAGGGGTTTAAGGGTTTAGAGTTGTTTCGGTGCTCGATTCGTTTTAAGCTGCCTAGGTGGCAGAAACCTGGAAAGCCTCAATGCGTGAATTACACGATCTGGGAGTTTCCGAAAACAGGGGGACTCTGATATTATAATACCCTGAATAGTAGGATCCTGATTGTAAGGACCCCCAAACAGGGTACCCCCAACTTTCGGAAACCCACATCTTGAAGTCGAACGTGCGAGGCGCTGCTTCGAGCCTCTAGAGATCCTGGGAGCCCCTCGAGCGATCTTCTCTTGCCCCGGCCTTCTGAAATGTGACTTAGGCTGGCACCGTACGTATCATGTAGGGGCCTCAATAATTAGAATAGGGCTTCGGGGGTTTATTATTATGATTGTAAGATAATATATATCCCAAAGCCTTATTCTAATTATCAAGGCCCCTACAGTACCCGATTCGAAATGCTAATGCTAACCTCGGTACAAACCTTCGGTCGATCGCAGCTCTCCTCTCATGGATCCGAGAACCCCGGCCCGAGCAATCCTCGATTTCCTGCATCACCTCCAGGACCAGCTGCGCTTTGCCTTGAACCAAACGGTTTAGGGTTTAGGGTCAAACCCCCAGGTGCCAAGTTAAGTCAAGAAGTCGGCCCTTTACACGATTGAAACTGTAGAAGTAAGACATACGTCATCAGAGTTTGATGGGAGGCCAAAAGGGGGGTTTAAGATTCTTGGGTAGGGATTCCTTCATATGAACCCTATTATGGGAACACTAATCCCTACTAAACCCCCATTGGCTAAAACCCCTTTTGGCCTCCTATGAGAGATACACTGCTGGTCGCTGCTACTTTCCAGTTAACGCCCTCGAACCCCGAGAAGTCCCGCCTTCACCACGGCGCGCGGAACGGCTCCGGAGCGCCGCCAGGGCGGGCCAGAGATTCTCCTCGGTTCGGCCCAGCGCCTAAACCCCCAAAAGCCTCAAGATCCTAAAACTTAAAACCCCAAAGCCCTGAAACACTAAAACCCTGAAACCCTAAATGCTATAAACCCTATACTACCTATAAATCCTGTAAACCCTATAAGCCCCATAAACCCCAAAAACCCTACACCCTACTCCCTCATGCAATGCGATGACCAGTGAGTCTTTTCGAATTTAGTCTGGCACCTGCTGGCGGTGGTGCTGACAGTGCAGTTAACATGGACACTAATGTTAAGCTTCGTGATCATGTTGTTGATGCTGCTGCTGATGAAGACGAAGATGATGACGATGACGATGACGATGACGATGACGATGACGATGACGATGACGATGACGATGACGATGACGATGACGATGACGATGACGATGACGATGACGATGACGATGACGATGACGATGACGATGACGATGACGACAAAGATGAAGACGAAGAAGAAGACGAAGATGGAGATGGAGATGATGACGATGATGATGATGATGACGACGACGACGATGACGATGACGATTGATGATGCATGATGCAGATGGTAATGAGGGTTGATGATGGCGATGAGGATGATGATCATGATTGATTGATGGATGGCTGGATGGATGGTGTCTTGTTCCACTCCGTACGCAGACACCAGTGCAACGCGACTCAGCCTTCAAACTTGCCAGAACATAAGACGTACAGATGAAGCTTACCCGGTGCTTGATGAGCTTTTGTTTGATGGTTTCCTTCTGATCTTCGCGAGGGCGGTGGCGGTTCGGCGTGGCAACAGGCAGTGGCTAAGGGCAAGAGAGCCGGGTGGGCATGCGGGCTGTCAAAACTCTGGCTTTAAGCTCCACTCAATTCCAAGCCCAACAAGAACTGACATCTGGCAACCTGAATCTTGAGCTGTGACTCTGAGATCTTGAAAGACAGGGCTCCACTCCGCTGCAGCCGAAGATATCGTTGCTGACGAAACTCTCCTCAAGGCAGATCCTTCGAAGGCGTTCCCAATTTGAATTTCATGCTTTGGCCTTTCGAGGTTTCGAGCCTCTGCATTCTACAAACCTGTCTGCTGACGAGATTGCGGTTGGGGTCCCAGCACAAGCCCTGCCACTGCCTTAGAACGAAATGTGCTCTACCCATCGTGTATTGATCTTGGTAAGAACTCCAGTAGAGCTCCCAGTCTTAGCGGCTTCAAAATCGGGCCCCCACCCTTTGAACCGAGTGTTCTGTCGGAGCTCCCTCAGGGGGAGGGCATTACAGTATACTTATACAAGGGTGCATCATTACTACATATTCTCAGTCCTGCACTCTAAAGACCCCAAACCCCTGAAGCCCGCAGGTTCAGGGGGCCGCAGGGCTTAGGGTTCAGGGTTTTGGTTTCAGTTGAGGCTCCCTCTTGAGGGGTGTTGAACGTCCTCCTGCCATTCGGGTAATGGGATGAGGGTTTAGGGTTCAGGCTTTAGGGTTTAGCCTTTTGGGGGTCTCTTAGTTTCTGAAACCTCGAAATCACTTCTGCAAGCCAGACTCGAAGCAACAACAATTACCCGAATCACTCGATGAGTCATGCTCGCTGGCAACTCTGTACAGACGGGTTGAGACCTCATCGTTGTTGAGGGTCTACCGATCGTTTTTCAGGGTCTTGAGGAATTTGGAGCTTTGAGGATGTAAGGCTCACTAGGGCCTGGGCTTTAAGGTTTTAGGGTGAGGGCGATAATGTATGTTCACGAACTGATCTTGGTCTGGGCGTGCCCACTCCAGCGGGCAGTCGTTCAACTCCAGGAAGGCTGTGTAGAGATTCAGGGCGGTCTCAGCAGGAGCTAGCGCGGCTCGGGGCTCTGGCGGTCGGATTCAAGAAGCGGGAACGTTGCGTCTCACAACACCGAAACATCTGCGGTAATGAAAGAACCCGAAGTAATGCAGTGCGCTCAATAAGCAGAATAGAATCATGAAGCCCGCATGACACAGAAATCATGGAAAACCCTGCCTTGCGAAGCATCTCGAGCTCGCTGGTCCTGGTGCTGGGGGCCTGGAGTGACTGCTCCTGGGCTTCAGGGCCTTACGGGTTCCTTTAGGGGCTCCTTTCAGGGGTTCCCTTAAAGATTCCCAGAGCCCCGGAGAGAGAGTGACCCAAGTTTCCGAGTCTTTTTCAAGCCCAAAATAAGGTATCCCTAATGTTCGGAAACTCCCCTTTCGCTACGGAAGCTCGGACCGTCGGCTTTCAGGTCTTTCGTCCCAGGCTGCGGTCGCGTCCCCGTCCCAACAGAAAACGAAACCTGGGAAGCAGGTACGCCTTGAACCTCAGACCCTAAACCCTAAACCCGTAAACCCCTAAACCCTAAACCCCTAAACTCTAAACCCTAAAAGCTAAGTCTCCAGCTTGCTGGCAAGCACCTGGAAGATGTCTCCCCAGTAATCCTGCACTCGGCGCACTTTGCACCACTGCGTTATCGAAGCAGGGAGCACCAACAGCTGCCCTAAACTTGGATCATGAATATGCAAGCACGACAAACAACTATGCCAGAACAAGGCCGATGACTCTGAGACCTTCCGACCTGAAATAGACAGAGACTTCCTCAGCCCTACATCCGTAGCAAGCGAAGCTCCTGGACCACGAAGTCCAGTGCCTGGTGACGGTGGGATGCTAAACATCTCCAATAATGGAAACATTTAGGGTTTAGGGACATTGCTGATGATGACAATAAACAGTAGTTGTGGTACCAACCGGTCAAGACTTCTATAGGGCTACCGAAACACATGCAGACGCATATGGGTGGTTGTCAAAATGATGCTCCCTTTTTTTGGGCCCCTAGTATAGTACGGCACCTAATATTTTGGGTACCCGAAAAGGGACCCTAATGTTGACAGCCCCCATATACACCCCAAAAAGATGTCGGGCCTGTGCCGCTGGGCTCTCGCCTTCCAACCTCGGTACCGATCCAGCAAGGAGAGCTCATCCGAAAAAGAGAGAGTTAATAGTTAAGTCAGAGTGTCTTTTTCTATGGTCCCTGAGAACCTTGCCATGATATCCCGTCATAGTCCCTGTATGTGTGTATATGTATGTATGTGTATATATATATATATATATATATATATGTAGATATATTAATATATATATATATATATATACATATATATATATATATACATATATATATATATATACATACATACATATACTCTTACATGAAGGAGTTGCCGTTGAAATGTCTGATGCAATCGCAAGTTCTTTTCCTTTGGTTTAAAGGGACATCGTTTAGAACACCGCCCAAGTCAGGCTGGGATGAAATCGTTTCGGGATAGGACTTGCAACGTCCATGGAGTCGAAGATGCAGATTCTCGCGCAGAGCAACATCATCGACCTGGCTGCGAGGGTCGTCTCATAGTACGTATAGGAGTCTAAACAAACTCTACATAAAGTAGCAGTACATTGTTTCGCACGGCCTGTACAACTATACTACCTCCCGTGCCTGAAATCTGTGTGTCACCCTCCGAGTTTTGAGCCCAGTTGCCTCACGCAAGTGCGCGATCAGACGTGGCAAGTCCGCGGTACGGAAAAAAAGCGCCTCAACAGAACACGGAGAGAATCAAGACCAGAAACGCGGGGTATCCGAACAGGCAACCAAGATGCAGAGCTCGCTACTGCTGGCTAACTAATCCTGCAGAACTGTTCATGCGAGCTGGATGCCGCAACGAAAGTGCCGGTACATTGTAAGTGGCGCCGAGCTGCGACATCGCGCCAAGGAATATGGCTTTCCTTAAGCCAGGCAGGTCCATTGACTTGTGACATCAGTACACGGGTCAGGGCAGCGCGGCTTTAGAACGCACGTCAATGTCTGACAGTCATACCAGTCTGCAACACGTTACAACAACAAGAAGACGAAGATATCACAATGTGGAACAACATCTCACATCCTACAGCAGTCCCTAACCAACAAGAGATGTCTGCTTGGGAGCTTGAGACCCCTTCAGTCCAGGCACCAGTGGCGGGTGGAAGTCGTCAGACACGATCACCTGAGAAGATCGGTCGCTAGCAAGACGACATGTTGCCATTGGTATTACCATATGTAACATTATTAAATGATTACTGCTGTTGTTAACTATAATAGTTCCTGATATTAAACATGACTCCATTTTTCATTATCAGTTGTTAAACTCTTCGCTTCTGAGATTTTTCGGGGGCTTCCAAACATTGGCTCTTCAAAACATTGACTTCGGTTCCGGGATGCCAGAGTTCAGGGTTTAGGGTTTAGCGTTTATTTGCTGGAAAAGTTCAGGTCTTTCGGTTTTCAGTGGGCCCAGAAGCAGAGTAAGTAGAGCCTACCCTGATTTGCCAAGCCGAAGCCATGGAATGTCCTCCCGGCGCGGGATCTCAGCTTAGTCCTATCACTTGGGAGCAAAGCCGACTCTTCCAGACAGTTTGGTTTGGCTCTTCTCCTCCCATCTGCGGCTTGGGCACAGGCACACAACCATGGGCCATGACGTCCACAAGGCGTACGTTGTTGGTGTGGGAGCTGCCCCGCAAAACCAGGCAGAACTTACCTTGAAGGGCGTGGGGTTACGGATATAAGGGCTTGGGCACCATAGTCTGAAAGATGCAGCACCAACCGGTCCCGAAGCATCTCGCCATGAACGTTAGGTTACACAAGTATACCAGAGATTCGACACGGGTCTGACTGGAGACAACCTCCAAGTGCTCGGACTCTCTCTGTCGTTTCAGCAAGGAACTATCCAACCAGCAGGCATGTGAGTCACTAGCCGCAAGCAACTCAAGCAAGATGCTCGAAAGCATGGCATCTTGATACTCCTCCTCGGACTCCACAACCTCATGGGATCAGGTCTTGGGGCACTTTAGCGCCTCGGAGCTCATGGGGTGTGCGCTGAGCATCTTGGTGGAACAGGAGATAGGGTTTAGGGTTTAGGGTTTAGGGTTTAGGGTTTAGGGTACATCTTGTGTAGCTTGCAATTGTCGATGTCTGGCTCCTTGCAGCTAGGGAACGGAACTCTGCACCCAGACCTCTGCTGGATCCATGTTGCCATACAGTGAGTGCCTTGCTTCTGCTGATGCACAAGCGCATTTGGGCTCTTGGCTGCAGGCATGGGCATTTCAATGGCATCGGGTTTCAGGTCGTCGTCGGGCCCTGTCAAGCCTTGCACCCCCTAAAGGTGCCGATAGTCAGACCCTTCAAAGTCGAGATTACAACTCCAGACCCTTACAACTCTTGTTGCATTGCCACACATTTCTACCCTCTGTTTTTAAATTGGCGAACTCGATGCGAAGTGTCACGTGTTTGAATGTAGCTTCCTCTGCAAGTGCACGCAAAGGCACAGCCAGCGCCGAGCACAGCTGTTCAGGCTGCCGGCAAAGAAGGCCAGGCGAGTCCGGGTGGCGGCTCGTGCGCGAGAGAGGACATCTGCATCGAAGCTCGTTACACTCTCACTCTCCCTCTGAGTCTCATTCTCATTCTCCCTCCCTATCTCGCTCTCTTCTTCTAGCGGTCTTCAAACGTAAACCCTGAGAGCTGAAGCGTGAGGAAACCGTGAAACGTTGGGCCCCTGAGCGTTTTATCACGAAAGAATACACTCATAGTTTCGATACCTTGGCTTGTGGTGTCGAAGCTTAAACCCTCCATTTTTTCCGTATGGGAACCCTTAAACTTAAACAAACCCTTAGAGGAGCCGCTTAAGGGCCATGGGCCAGCCCCAGCCTCGAGTGGAGATGAAGCGGCTCGGGATGCTGATGACGAAGTCTTGCCTTTGCGCGTCGGTTCACGGGGCTCAGGCACATACATCCCAGCGTAGCTATGTATTGATAGTTGTGGGAGTGGATTTAGTAATACTTGTAATTAAAATAGTCGTCGTAATAGCAATATGATAGCAACAATAACAACAATGATCGCATGGTCACATGTAGCCATGCCCTCCCCACAGAGTACTGAGCTTTAGTCGCAGTAGCGGACACATCGGAAATCGCTACAAGTCCGGCAGTCCTGTAACTCAAGGATTGTCACCTACGATGCGTCATCGGGTGAGAACTGTTGCGGACATTGCGTCACCACAGCAGGCAGAATTCCCGGTGTAGCTCGCGCGGTGAGCCACTGTGTGCAGCTGTTAGTGGCCTATCAAGCGCAGCCTCACAAGCAGTCCCTGCTCCGTCCAACCTAAACTACTTAGCTCTAGGCCTCGATCCGCTTCCAGCCTAGCACTTGGCGCCTGAAGCATCACCTTCCTTCCGTCCACAACCGTTGAACTCGAGGCAACCGACCTGACCCCTAGGGCCCTAGGCCCTAGGCCCAGAATCTAGCCTTCAAAGCCTGATGCCCCAAATCCAAGGAACAGATACTTGCAGTGCCAGTGGCGGGTAGAAGATTCGGCCCTCTGCTGTTGATTGGGTCTCCTTCCCAGGCCATGGACTTTAGTTGTGCCTCTGGCGAACACCAGCAACGCGTGTAATTGGTTGTACAACTACATAGTATTAATACAATTGTAGCCACAATAACGATAACAACAGTGAGAAGAGGAATAACAATGAGTATACTCTATATTAAAATTTTTGCATCGCAAAGGGTTGTGCGGGCCAGCGCTGACTCTGAACACGGGTTCCTCAAGCCTTAAGAGCTTGAGAAATGCGCGCAGCACCTCGGCACAGCGATCCGGTGCAGCAGCTTCTGGAAGCGCCTCAGCAGAGCGTAGGAGGCTGCAAGCATCGGACTTTAGGGTTTAGGGGTTAGGGCTTAGGGTCTAGAGTTTCGGGTTTAATTAAGGCTTAGGGTTTAGGGTTTGAGACCTCACAATGAGGATCCTGCCAGTGAATCAAACTCACGAAACAGTAGTCAGCACACCCACCGTAGCACGTGGTTAAAAGAGCGCAACATGCTGAAGAGCGAGGAGGCGACGACGCGCCGAAGTCAGAGTCCTCTATCGCTCAGGAAGACCATGAATCGAAAAAGGGGAGCTTCCTTTTCGGCGGTCAGAATCCTACTAGTCCCGTTCACAGTTCTGGGGGTCCTTCTAAGTAGAGGATCAACTCCCGACTGTCATGGCTTGCAGCCGAGTCTCCCACAAGTTCGCCTGCACGGTTCGTCGGAGTACATGCAATAAGAAATGGCCCGTTTTGCAAGGTTCATAACTGGTATGATACGACTGATACTGGCAGACAGACACGACTGCGGTATCAGAAAACAACCGAAGACCTACCATCACCTCAACGCTAAACCCTGACATAGACAAGGCCTTCTGCAGCCAGTCCGCTTCGCCGGTCAGTGTGCCGACACTCCAATTCCTTCTAACTCGTCTCGGTTTTCAAGGGTGCAGGGCTTAGGGCTCAAATCCTAGCGGCGAGGACTACAAAGGAGAAAAAAGAAACATCGCAGAGCTTAGGACCATCAAGAACAATCGCAAGCCGCGATATCATGGATCTTGACAGCAATGTCTACACCTCACGGTTTTCAGAAAAGTCAAGCTGCATGGCCACTCTCGGGCGAAGCTAGTCATCCCCACTACGTGTCTCAACGTCCCTAAGCAGGGACCTTCCTTGCTTTACAGTCATAACACAGGACCATGAGCCAAAGAATTCGGATTTCAAAGGGGAAAGCCTTAACCTTGAGAAGATCCGGCCGAGGTCCTCGTCTCGGCCAGGGCGACGGGAAAGTCCTGTGCACCAGCGGGCTGCAGGGTGGGAAGCATACGGGGTTTAGGGTTTAGGGTTTAGGGTTTAGGGACAAGGCTTGGAGTCGGCGGTCCTGTCTCCCAAGGTCCATCGCATAGACTGTCACAAAGTTGGCCTAAGAGTTCCAGCTGTGTCGCAAAGGAGGGAATGCGTGAGGCTAGCGAAAACCCCACTTTCATCCACCACCTTTGGGGGTTTCCGAAAATAGGGGACGCTAATATAGATCCCTATTATAAGGACCCCTAAATAAGGTAGCCCTATTTTCGGAAACTCCCATATACCGTTCTCCTTGGAATCCCAATCCCTGAACCCGAAATCCTGCCGAGGGACGCCGGAATGGCGCTGCCAGGCCGGGTGGGCGTTAGCCCACTGGGCCACAGGGCCTGATATAGGGGCCGAAATGATTACCATTTTTGTTCCTTATGGTTCTTACTATGGTTATACCATAAATGGGCCCAAAACCCCATTGTGAAGGCCTTTATTGTAGGTAAGGAAAGGCTCAGTAGCCAAAGTGGGCTCAAGGAGCTCCGGGCTGCAAGATGTATGATGCCGGTTGTCAAAATTATGGTCCCTTTCTGGGTACCCTAAATATTAGGTGCCGTACTATACTAAGGACCCAAAAAGGGACCCTAATTTTAACAACCACCCATGTATGATGCTGGTTGTATCTTAGAACACTAGTAGAGACCTGACAATAGCCATGATAATAGTAATAACCATGACAATACTAGGAATAAAAGTAAAAATAAATAATAGTGATGATAATAATAACAGCAGGTTTACGGGTTGGTGACTGGAGTCTTCGCGAATCACACCACCGACCACCCAAGAGACTCCGAATGCCAGCTCAGGATTCTTTAGGGCTTAGGGTTTAGGGTTGTACGGTTTAGGGTTTGGGGGTTTAGTGCTCCGCGGGAGATTGCACTTTGCACACCGGCTGCAGTTTCAATCTAGGGTCCGAAAAATTCAACTAAGGGTTAAAATTGCAGCATGATTATAACCATCTGCATCTCGAGTTTCAGTCGCGGGTGAGGTGGGGCAAGGCTGCACAGCTGAGCGGCGCAGGTACCAAGCGTCTGCTTTCGCCAGAGCTGCCTGAGGAACGGAAAACCGGCTGATTCTGGGTTCTAGTCACAAAAGCTATATATAGTTAGGGTTTCGGGTTGAAGGCTTGCAGGTTTCCAAAGAACTTCTGACAATTCCGCCTGCGAGAAACTAACCTGATGTCGAAATTCGAAACCGCTCCCTCTCCAAACCGCAATCCCGGACTAAACGCCTAGACCTGCACTGCCTGACTGCGGCATGCTCCCAACTGCCTCGTGAGAGTGCGAGTTGTTGAGGCGCAAATTCCAATACACCTGTCGGGCAGCTCCAACGCCAAATCTGGTTGCTAAGGGACACTCCAGATTTTGAATGTATACTGCTAAGTTCGGAATCTTAAAGTATCTGCGTACCCTTGTGTCCGTTCTACTGTAACTAGGACTTGTGCCATCCATCCTGTACTTACTTACAACCTTGCTGTGCTATTTTCTATTACTTACCTTTCCTATGGTCTTCTAGCTGTTTTCTGGTCCTGTCTGTGGTGAAGACTACTCTCGCAACTCTGGCGGTGCGATTGAATTCCCTTACAAACCTTTTCTTGCGGCTGCTCTTCTTGATCATACTGTCATGATGAAGCTTGTCACTCTTGATGTAAGCCTGATTCACAGAAGCCCTTCCCTTACGGGGCCTCGGTAGGTCTACTAATTAATGCGGGGATCAACATCAACTTTCTTAAGCCTATCTTCCCTTTGAGAACCAAAAACGTTGACACTGAAAGAAGGACCGTACAAAAGCCTTAACCCCAACAGCCCCACGACACTAAACTCTAAACCCCAAAAGCCCTACAATCCCTGGCCTTGGTCACACACTGAGCGAGCCAGATGAAGTCCGCCACACGCCAGTCGTACGTCCTGGCGGTTCAGGGGTCGCGTCAAGATGTAGACGGCGATTACTAGAAGGTTCCTGTAAGGTTACCATATAAAGTATAGGGCAACCATGTCTAGGATAGGGCTTGAGCCCTCCAACCCAGCACGTGCCTTGACCTGCCGTCCTAACACAATGCAGGAGTGGGCGCGATAAATGTGTGGACATCCAGGCTTTCAAGTCCGAATGACGACCGCATGCTTGCTCAGTTCTTGAATTCTGTGACGATTGCATCTTCTGGAGCTGTCTGCCGAAAAGCGCTGGGATGACAGATCTGTTCTTCGCCGTTGGAAGCCCTGTGAAAGCCGGCAAGGCACAACAACAGACGCAACAGTGGCTTTCTTGGTAATTTTAAGTTCGCCTCGAGACCAGGATCATAATCCCAGATCTATGCCGACATGCGCCAAGCCAATCCTGGAGCCATCGAAGATGTTACGTGAGTCTGTGGACCAGGCACCGTGGTAGGAGCACTATAGAGGCTTTAAGAGTAACCTATAATATTGCGGGGGTTCCTGATTATAGTTATAGTAGAAAATGCTCAACACCCTACTCTGCTTATTAAGGTCCCTATAGTAATTCACTCAGACGGGGCCTGAGACTCGGCTGCCACTGCAGGAACTCGAGGAACTGCGACTCCATGGAGTACTGGTAACCTGGACCAGGGTGTAGGGTTTAGGGCTGTCTTGTTGGCTGAGGGCGCTCTTAGCGGCTCCGGGTTGAACCATGCAGAATGCTATGCTCCGTCTTTTGCGAAAGATCCAAACACGTAGCTAACCCCATGAACCATAAGACCCGTGCACAGGCCACATGCTGCATGGTCGAAGGCCTGTATCCCCATCGCATGAAACAGACCAACGGCTGACGTTGAGCGGGACCTCCTGACACGGCGCGAAGGGAATGTTGACTTGCATGGCACAGCGTTCGGGGGCCACGACTTGAGCTTCTCGAGTAAAGCTAGATACAGGGGCCCTGTTGGAAGCAAGTATTTCCGCACACGTTGAGATTCCTTGTCATCTACGGACGGAACTGCTCGAGTCTGCAGAAATGGGCCTGACGCCTATGAACACTTGGGCTGCAGCTGCGTGTCCAGAATGAAGAATCGACGATCCAACACGACCTGCGGCACAGCACGGAAAACCCTAAACCCTAAACCCTAAGCCCTAAACCCCAAGCCCTTAACCCTGGCGGACCCGCAGGACAGAGCATTGCGAAAGAAGATGCCTGGATTCAACCGAACATCTGGCGATCATGCACTTGAAGCCACGATGCAGACCCAAGGCTACAGACAAGCCCTCGCGAATTTGATAGTACTGCGGTCTGCAGCTGCAAGATTGCCCTTGCACAATGGCGGCACAGCCGCTATGAGCTCAAACCTTTCTTCTAAGAAGGAACCAGAAACCCACACCCGGCTTTCGAAGAGGGACACTGAGAGCTGAGAGGAAGTGCAGTCCAAAGCATCACAAATTCCTGGTGATGGCCAGGAATGTGATGACGGAAACGCAGCAAGGCGAGGTTTAGGGTTTGGGGTTTAGAGTTTGGGGTTCAGGGTTTAGGGCTTGGGGTTTAGAGTTTGGGGTTTAGGGTTTAGGGTTACTGGCCTGAGCCTCGTGTCCGTGTGGAGAGCTGAGGGCCAGCAGGAGGGCCACGCAGCGCATGGCACCATGGCGTCCGAGGGCATGAGTAGTTGCTATGGTGCTACGAGGAGGATATCACCACTGGTGGATCTGGTGGGTTTGGTAGTGCGTTGGGAGTTTCCGAAGATAGAGGATCCTAATATAGCACCGCAAATAATGGGACCCTTAGTACAAGGACCCCAAAAGGAGGTACCCCTAATTTTCGGAAACTCCCGGTTGGCGCCCTTCAAGTTGCTGAGCTCCAGAGCGCGTGTGCACTGTGATTGCAGCTGTCTCGGGCGCAGATCTGCAAGCTTGTCGTGGTAAGGATGGCTTGGCAGATAAGTTGGATCGAAAATGGGGACCTCCATATAAAAATTGCCATACAGTTGCGATAATTATGCGATGACATAACTGTTCAATTTAGCAAGGTCGGAAAAAGTGGGGTCTGTAGGTCTTGGGGATCGTCACAAAGGTTTGGCGGTCTGACCCTAAACCGTGACTCCTAAAGCCCAAACCCAAACCGATAGAGCTGCTGCAAAAACGGCATGGGAAAGACCGGCACTCGGAATTGGTGCAAACTTGCGAGAGGAGAGCTGCCTTCGATTCCGGAATTAACAAAAACCTCAGAGTTATGGCAACGTGTTATGATATCATGTCATATCAAATAGTATAGTATAGACCCGTAACAACCGATATAAAAAATGATTTCGCTGAAGTTCGAACGGCCGTCTTCCCCATTCGCTGGGTCCCCGTGCTGCGCGTTCGGATCTGCCGTTGCTGCCGACGCAGTGCTTGACGAGGATGTCCCGAAGTGCAAAGAGACCTCAGCTGTAAGTAACTTGCATACCATATTATGTAGCACATATTAAAGTTCTATTATATAGTACATATTAGGTGTATAGATAAATGTTAGTGTTCGGATCCAGCGGGTTAGTCTTCATGCTACCAACATCATTCATTCAACATGAACAGCGATTCTTCCAGCCCTCTTCCATGAAGGACTCGCAACTGTTCAAGCTTGGCATACACATCCTCAAAGGACTGTATGATGCGTAACATACCGCTCATGCGTTATCTGTTTGTAAGATCGTGCGATGCATGATATACTACTACTACTACTAGTACTACTACTACTACTATTACTACTACTACTTCTACTACTGCTACTACCACTACTACTACTACAACTACTACTACTACGACTACGACTACGACTACGACTACGACTACGACTACGACTACTACTACTACTACTACTACTACTACTGCAATAGCTTTTTTTGGCCAATTGTTGTGCAGTATATAGTCTTTAACATAAGATACAGTGCATGTTATCCGATCATGGATGATGGAAAACAGAAATTAGGTAAGACATGAGGGAAGAGAGATAAAGATAGACGAGCTCAGAAACCCTCCTGTTCAGTGCACATTGCCGATACATAGAACATAATACATAATGCCTTACGGATAGATGACACATCAGTCAGAATGAATAGTGAATGATGCATAATGCACGACACATCATACATGAACAAAAAAGATACGAGAGTTAGTACAGGGTACATAATAGATCATGGATAGCGAATAAACGATAATGGGTCGCAGGTGAAACGCAATAGATAACACAAAACAGAAAATGACGTCACAGGCAAAAACAGATACCAGATGATGGTTAATGGGTAAGAAAGAGCAGGTGATCGACAATCCAATGTATATAAACACGTACAGAATGTGAAGCATGTTCTGTATAAAAACATCTCATGTATATGGATGTGTATGTGTTTACTGTATACATAGATATACATATATGTAAGCAAATACCGTAAGCTTTATACAGAAAACTGTGTATAACAAACTAACAAACTCTCTATACATACATATATATATATATATTATATGACAGTATAAGTATATATATATATATATATCACATGGCAGGGCTCAGAAAACAGGCGACAGCGCCTGATTGCTGTAGCCCCAGGACCCCATGCCATGGCCCTACAGGGAAGGGGGGTCGCTCAGAAGCCACGGCAGAGGAGTTCGCGGCTGGCTTCAAGAAGACGGCTTTCGCACGGAGCTGGCGATGAACAACCAGTTGACCACTCGTTTCAGGACCTATTTCCTGTTGGATGCGGCACATGTCCCTGCCCTGGCAGGTGTCTTTGGTCTCTTACATTTGGTCCCATACCTTTGCGTCCACTTCATGTTGATGTCTTATGCCTCGGTCTTCACGGCTGCGAAGGCTTACCTTGAGCACCAGTGGGGAATACTGCTGAACCGACTGCCTCATTGCCCCCTAAGTGGCTTGAACGTGGATATCACTGAGTCTCAGGCCAAGCTGGTCCTATACCCGCGCATCCACTTCATGTTGATGTCTTATGCCTCGGTCTTCACGGCTGCGAAGGCTTACCTTGAGCACCAGTGGGGAATACTGCTGAGCCGATTGCCGGATTGCCCCCTGAGTAGCTCGAACTTGCTGGAATGTAAGAGTGCTCGACATATGTATGTGTATATACGAAGCAAGTTGGCAAGTCAGACCTGCCAACTCCTTGGCCGTGCGAGCCCTCCTCAAAGATGTGACATTACATCCTTTGGCTCTGCTTTTTCGATGTGTACACGGTGTCACTGCACATTCGGGAATGCTTGAGTGAGCACAGTTCTTTTGAAGTGTGGGGCATGCTAGCTTTGTTCTTGCCTCTCCCAGCCCCTGGAGGAATGCTCAAAGCTGGACCGCAGGGAAGTCTGATGATCAGCTCTCCCTGTTGTCGTCTGTAGGTTTGTTGCTGGCTTCGTGGTCGTTCATGGGCCAGCTTTTGTTGTTGTCACGCTTTTGGAGGGTTCACGCTCCCGAGCCTGATTGCGTGTGTCAGTGCTTTTAAATGAGAGGCGCTCGGATTGGCCAGACAGCTTTTAGCCCTGGAAGTGGCTGCTGGGTTCATCTGGTGATCCTTTTTCGATTTTGCCTCTCATCGCAGATTTCTGCGCCACGGGCCCTAAATTTTAAAGGACTGTGAGCGCATACTGCTTTCCAATCTAATTAGGTGCTTGTTGAATTCTTATGCATGTGGCGCGTCCTCAGGACCCCAAGCCATCGAGAAAGAAAGATATCACATGGCACAATGTACCAAGGTTGCCACACAAAAACAGTAACACATAATATGAAACGTACAATACTTCATTACGCATATCATACAAAATAAAGGAGATGAAATGTATATTACGCAGCATGCTCTATGCAATGTGTAGTATGTAATGCAAAGAACAAGTCAAATATGCGTCGTAATACAATGCAATATTTCCTAATGGGATATAGTAACCAGTGCTAGCACCTAACAAAATACAGGTTTGCTGAAAGCTTGTATGATATGACATGGTGTGGTTTAACATCTTTTCATCGTACACAATCAAACAAAGTGTGACACAACATAACCTAACCTAAAATGGAACGAAATCTAAGAACATGACACTAACTAAAACATGTATAATGTAACAGTAATATACCTTCATATGGTCCAGTATGATGCAATACAACGCAGTATCACAAAGTATAGTACAATACAATGACACAGTGAAACATAACATCTCAGTATAACATAGAATCATACACCAACTACCGGACAGAAAAAGACTCTATAAATGAATAAACAAGCGAACAAACAAATTAGCATTACGTATATAGACTACTCCCGACTGATCGGCATTCCCAAAGATCTGAGGATCACACGCACAGGACCTCAGCAACTCCTTGCCAGAGAACGATGCCTAGTAGGGGAACGTAATCGGAGGGCCTTAAACTTTAGAATAGTGTATAGTCCCCATCGTAGGCTACATCATTATTGTACAAAATAACTGAAGACGAGTCGGAAATAGTAGAGGGTAGTAGAGCAGCAGAACCACCGTAGAGGAGCAGAAACCGACCTAAAGCAATCGCAAAGGACAGCAAGGTATGACCGCAATGCATACCATTCCACTCCGCCACGTCCTCGGGTATCCAGTCTGGGAAACTCCTTCAAGATGTTACGAATGGCCTGCAAAGGACAGATGCGAGTTTCAGAGCACATGTATAAAGGGCGCTTCCTCACACTTTCCAGAGCTTCTCAACATACGGGTACCCGTTTCCGAAGAGTCTGTGAACTCGGTGAACGAGCGGTTCATGAATCAAAGACACAGGCCCACGCTTTCACGCTTAAGAGCCATAGAGTTCAGTTGAAGAACGTCGGGGTGTGCGGTCCTTCTGCTGCCATACTCTCAAGAGGCATGCATAGATAGAAGTGCGAAAGACACAGGACGTGAACCGGTGAAAGTTCCGGAGGCAGGACTCAATGGACATTCGTTTTCTACACTCCGGGTCTAAACTACCGGAGACTCCAAAACCGCAATCACATATACATGTATACATAAAAACGTGTATGCATGCATACATATATGCAACTACACATGCATTCTGTGTAGTTCTTCAAAACATACCAAATTCTGAACACAGTGTATACCCTGAGTGCTCTGAACGCCACAGGTCCCAGGAGTAATCCTAAAGATAGGATCCTTAGGTCGCTATAGTACGGATTAGGAGTTTAGGGGTTTAGGGGTTTAGAAGTTCGCGGTTCAGCGTAGAGTTTAGGGTTTTGGGTTAAGGGGCTTAGGGTTTCGGGGTTTCGAAGTTTTGGGTTTAGGGTAGAGTCTGGTTTGGGGGGTACACAGGCATAAGATCGCGCCTGCAAACTAAGGTTGCCCCCAGTCTGCCCGATCTCCTTGGCGTCCCACAGCTAAGTTTTTGAGATGGCTTCCAGTCTCGTGCTCAAGGCCAAAAGGTGGGGGTCCTCAAATACCGAGGTGGAGGGGCGACGAGGCCGAATGAGAGTACTCGTCACCAATCATTCAAGCACTCATACTTCATCTGACAAGGTGCAGCTGCCGCTGCCGCTGCAATTGCTGCTGCGCTTGTGGCTTCTGTGGCCGCCGGTGTTCGTGTTGGTAATGCTGCTGCTTACGAGTAGCCTTAAAATACGCAATGTTACACGTTTCGGTTGCTGGCATTACCTGAGTCATGGTGCCCTCCTGGTTCCTACTGGTCCGACGCATAGACAGAAGTACTCAACCTCAAAACCTAGCATCTCTGAACTGAAGAACTCATGAAGCGCGAACTCAAAGCCCCGAACCCTGAACTCTAGCTGTCTAGCTTTCACTTATGCCACAGAACGGGGCCCAGATCTGAGCCCAGCGCCTCAATAAGATCGCATGCCCTCACTCCATCTTGGTAGCCTCAAGGCTGTCACTGCACGCAAAAACATGATAGCAAGCAGAGTAGCCAAGAGGAACCATGCAGCAAGTGGCCCAGCGAGGCATGGCACCGCGACACCAAAAAAAGAGATGCACGGCAACAAAGGCCGAACACAAACCCTCCTGCTGCAGGAGGCTTACCCCCATCTAGACTGGCTCGAGGATCGTGTTAATCGAAGATGTCAACGAGATTACAAAGAGACGGCACTGGCACCATGTCTTCGTCAAGTAGTTCTCGTCCCCGATTATGGTGCTGGTGGTAGGGCAGTGGTGTAGGGAAGGAGGCTCAAGAGGAAGATGTGTGGTCGAAGGAGTAGTGACGTGCAGAGCTCAAGCAGCCAGTGGTCGGTGCCTGGTGTAAGTCACGTTGAGGGTGTGCATGATTGCTGTGTGTTTCGGATCTTGGTTCCAAGAGAAGAATGCCGCCGCAGATGGCAAAGCAGCGATCCGCGGCAGGAAAGAATAAAGGGCTCAACTTGAAGACAGCGCTGTGGACTATGGCTCTGATGCTTAAACCCTAAACCCTAAATATGAGATCTTCAAGCGTGGCAGAAGCCGATCTGAGGTCCGCGCCACGGGCCGTGGAGCCTGGGCGATCCTACGACCTAGTTCCTGCAAGCGACTTGCTAGGCATCCTTGGAGAACCAAAGCAGAAACCCTCAGGAAAGCCAGACATCCAGAATCATTAATGCCATTACTACTTCTTGTTGCTATTCTTTCTCCAATTATTATGATTACTCTTATTTTCTGATTGTTGGAGTGAGGAGTATTTGCCAGAAGCACCGAGAATCCGGCCGTTTGCCAGCATGGGGAGCTCCTGAACTCGCTCGACACCCGGGAATCTAAGAGGGTTTAGGGGTTTAGGGCTTAGATTTTAGGCTTTAGGGCTTAACTTTCGGGTTTAGGGTTCAGGGTTTAGGCTACAGACCCTCTGAATACCCTGTAAGGCTAGGGGAACTGAGGGCTTCCGGCCTTCGGATGATAGGCCACAAAAGCTGCAGACGAGAACCCCCCGGTCAGCCCCCTGCGGAGCACCCTGATAGACTCCACGCACACCCCTTCAACCTAAACCCTTACGGTGAACCCCGGAATAAAGTTGGAAGATGGGTTTAGGATGATTAGTGCGAGGCTTCCGCATACTTTACACTACGGGCATGAGGATAATGATGGTCCAACTTTCTGGCTGCGACTGTAATCCTAGACCCTAGAACCTTTCACTTATGGAGACCGACGGTCGGAGAGCGCCTGCGGCGACGAGCCGCGCGCCTCAAATTTCTTGAGGCGCTGCGTGCCTGGGCCCAAGGAGCCCGGAGAGGCTCTGATAGCTCTTGGGATCGACCGGCTTGGGATTTAGGGTTGAAAGCTCGGGGAGATTAGGGTGTTGGCTGCGACGAGCTACAGAATCGAGATCTTTCCGTAACTTCAAGTAGGTGAGCTCAGGATTTGACTCTCTCTTAGCCTTCGGGTTCCTTGCTGGGCTTCGGTCTGACGAATCGAAACAGCGAGTTGAATTTCAAAGCTGGGTAAGGGGCTCATGCGTTGCATTGAGAGCAGGCCCGCGATCATGTTCTTGCCCCCGTCCGATTCCTCAGAGGGCTCCAGCCAAGCGAAACGCAAGCAGCTGCATGAGGTTATGTCCACGGAGATGGGTTAGAAGTTAGAAGGACATGTTTAGAGATAGCACTACTGCGGTTCCTCCGCGCCGACTGACCTCTGAATTCTGCAAGTTGGTCAAAGACCCACCCGTGTGCAGCATCCGGAAACGAACTAGATGAGCCAAGCCACAGTCTGGTGGTCCAGCAGTTGCTTGAAGAGGTGCTCACGGTCTTTGTCGTCCAATTGCTGGCGAGGCTGGGGGCCGAAACTCTAGCCCGGAAGCGCCCTGAACCCGAAACCCCGGCGGGCCAACTCCTAAGATCAAGACCCCCTAAACCCTGAACCCCAAACCGTAAACCCTCAACCCTAAACCCTTAACCCTGAATCCTAAACCCTAGACCCTGAACCCTAAACCGTAAACCCTAGTCCGACTTCCCGTGCTACCCTAAGCTCAGCTGGGCTGGAGCTTTCGGCGCTCATGAAGCTCGGGCTTCGGGGTTAAGTTGTCGGATTTAGCTGTGACGGTTTATGAAGGGGTTTAGGGTCCGAGGGCTGTCGGTACATGGCATCGGGTGCTCGCAGATAACAAGCGGAAGGGTGTGCGGAATTTATGCAAGCCGTCGAGTTAAGTTCTTTCGCTCCAAACCCTGTGACCAGACTGGGATTTTGGGCCAGCACTCGCCGAGCGAAGAAATCGATAGCACAGACCACTCATAGGCGGGTCTCAGACGGGCAGCCCGTTCCGCTTGATGTCAAGGACCTGGCCCGAAACCCTACTCTTTTTGTTTTGAACGCCTTTTTCCGTCTGCCTGGTTAGGAGTCCGAAACCCTACTCTAATTATTAAGGCTCCTACGTTAGGAGGTCGGCTCAGTGCCTGTTGTGGTGTTTTCCTAGGTACCTTCGCCATCCTTAAAAGCAGCAGCGCAACGTCATGTTGTCTGCCGTATGGGTGGGGACGGTACTGCAGAATCGCTTGTTGTTTGTAGTCTGTTTAATTTTTTGTCATGTCTGCATTATCTAGTGCTCTTGCTATGTGTCGTGTTGGTTCCAGGATGCCGGGCTTACCATGTCATCATCGCCGATTGCTCGCTTTCACATTGCAAAACGTTTTTGCGAAATGCATGAACCGCTTGCGCTGCTACAGTGGCACCCTAACCCCGAGCCGTAGCTTCATGCCCTTACACTAATACTAATTCTGATACTAATACTAACTCTAATACTCATACTACTATTAGTAGTATGGCGGGTGTGATGATGTCGGGAGGCCAGCATAGCTGGGTCCTGTGATCAAGGGGATTAGCTTTGCTTGGCCATCCTGGGGCGCCAGGTGACCCGAGGTCTCCCCGATGCTTTCTTCAAAGAATGCGATCATCATAAGGACCCTTAGGGGGGCAGGGAGGGGAGTAGCGGGCCTTAATACCTATAATAAGGACTCATTAGCCCTATGAGAGCATGGTGGTGAGGAACAGGACCACGGGTTATTGCCAGTATTCCTCTCTGCTTGTTGTTGTTTCCATAGTTCGCTTGTTGCTGCTTGAAGCTGCTGCTGCTGTCGTTGTCGTCGTTTTGACTCATTTGAAGAGCCAGAAGCCCAGAGCCCTGCCCATTATACTCTAATTTTAATAAGGAGCCCCCAAAATAGTATAGGCAATGATTAAGGCCCCTGTAGTACTATCTTATAGAACCCTGGCAAAACATGGTAAAACAGTTATACTTACTTCCCAAATATGCATGGGGTAACAAGTTGAAACTTTTCGAATCAAACTACCGTATAAACACCCCAGAATTGAAAAGTTTGGCTGTTCCAAGGAACCCTTCAACGAGCCCTATGTGAAGTATCAAGACTTCTCCACGGACCGGCCTCGATCTCAAAGAGCAAATCAGCGTCGGGAGGGATTCCCCAGGATGGAAAGCCCCGGGGGCCATAGCCTCAGGGCTTGTCTGGGATCCTGGGAGGTTCCGGATCCTGGGTTCAGGGTTTAGGGTTTAGGGGCCATGCCTCAAAGGCTTATCTGGGATCCTGGGAGAGGATGGTCCTCAAAGTCATGCGTGAAAAAGTGCACGAAGAGGCACAAAAAAGACATGACAGCGTGCTGAACAGATTAGACAAATGTTTCATCTTCCTCCATGGGCCCCCCCACGACAAAAGAGTCTCTACGCCACAAGTATGCATTCGATCAAGTCGGTGATGGCTAGGGTCGTCTGCAGCCTTCGTGACCTCATGGACCTGAAAGGACATGTGGTGAGCCTAACATGACATGATATGTATGTGCATATATCTCGCTTGTTCGCGCTTTTCGGGGGTAGAGATCCAATGCGTGGACGCAGCCCTTATGTACATACATATATATATATATATATATATATATATATATATTTATTTATTTATTTATTTATTTATTTATGTATTTATTTGTTTATATTCAGGTTTATATTTATACACACAGGCTTAACAACAAAGCTGGTAAGACTTCTCATACTCAGAACGAAAAGCATGATAGTCACGAAGAGAATTAGAAGTGTTATCTCTTTATGTCTACAATGATATGTATATATTCATTTATATTTATATTCTCAAGGATTCATACATACCGAGTCATCAACGAAATTACAAGATATAGACAGACAAGCCCATGTCCATGCGGCATTGCATACAAAGCTTCTGAAGTGATTCGTCAAAAACATCTACATCCCGAAACTCAAAGGGCTTGGGGTTTTGCTGAGCACCTTTTGCCGATTGCATGAGTCTAAAAGATAAGGTTAAGGTCTAGGGTTTCGTGTTTATGCTTTAGGGCCTTCCAAGCAAATCCTCACACGAACACGACGTACGGGTTTGGCCCGTGAGCCTTCACCTGCTGGGATGCGAAGGCCCCTGATCTCGCCCCGCCGCATGCCTTGCCAGGTTCAGGGATCAGATGTCTAGCATCACGAATGCTTGCCAGCACAAGCGCTGGCGGCAGCAGCAGCAGCAACAGCAGCTGCCTTGATCACAGCAGTGCAGTAGCAATGGAAGCCGCCATCGTCCTCGTCTCGTCGTCGTAGTAGTAGTAAAAGTTCTAGCAGCCGTGGTCGTCGTTGCTGCATTTTGCATTGGTCTCTTCCCGCAGCCGCCCGTAACATCAAGAACGGCTCGGCGAAGATGTTGCGGTTTCGGGCACCGTAATTGAAGCAGGGGACAATTCTAAGTCTTGGGGGCAACGAACATTGTTTGTAATACGACCCAATATACTATAATATACTATAACATACTGTACCATCATATACTACAGTATACTATACTAGAGTGACCTAGTGACCCAGTTCTTTGGACCTCCTTGGGCCACAAGAGGCCCCATCGGCAAAGTGCAACCCCTCCACAGGGGCCCCTTACTGTTGGTGATATAAATCCTGCATTACCTTAAGGACCCTAAACTATGGGAATTATGGTATAGTACTTGTTATGGGTCATGCAGGATTTATATCATCAACCGAATCAACTCTGTGAAGCTTCCTCTAACACTGCTAGTGATACACTACTAGCAATGGTAGTACGAAAACTAAGAGGTACGCAAAAGCTTTCTCAATACCACAGGAACTGCAGGGGCCGCAAAAAAGCACGACTGCATCGACTTGCAGTGCAAGGGAACTAGTTAGAGGAACGTAGGAGGGGACTGCAGGCTGCAGGAGCTGGTGCAACTGGGTCTGCTAGCAGCGAGAGTCCATGCGGCCGAACGTGCAGCACCCTTACTACGAAGAAAGACAGACCCAAGACGCAGTTTCATATTAGGAGGGGGAGGGATTTAACAAAGAGGGGAAAGAAATTTTTGTGGTGATTGCAGTGAGCAATAGTGCTCCCGTTACTGTTTTACTCTTGCTACTGCTACTGCATGGAGTGACGAGATCAGGTTTGTCACTGGAGGCAGTAGTGTATTGTTTGCGATCTCACCGGCGTGTTTAGTTAAGGGCTTGGCAAGAAAGTGCTCCGGGTACGACAAGAAACCAAATGGCCGATGGACCGAAGCTCCTGAATCGTCCTGAAAAATCGCTCTCATTGCCAGGTCCCGGGCCTCGTGCTCCGTAGTCCCATCCTTTGATGACGCCTGCGCCATATTTTCTGCCGTACTGCTACTGCCACTGCCGCTGCTACTGCCAGTGCCACTGCGACTGCGACTGCTACCGCGAGTGCTGATGCTGCTTCTGCTGCTGTTGCTACTGCTACTGCTACTGCTACTGCTACTGCTACTGCCACTGCTACTGCTACTGCTACTGCTACTGCTCCTGCTCCTGCTCCTGCTCCTGCTCCTGCTCCTTCTCCTGCTCCTCCTGCTGCTGCTGCTGCTGTTGCTGCTGCTGCTACTGCTACAGCTACTGCTACTGCTACAGCTACAGCTATTGCTACAGCTACTGCTACTGCTACTGCTCCTGCTGCTGCTGCTACTACTACTGCTACTGCTACTGCTACTGCTACTGCTACTGCTACTGCTACTGCTACTACTACTACTACTACTACTACTACTACTACTACTACTACGACTACTGCTGCCACTGCTGCTACTACTTACTACTACTACTGCTACTACTACTACTACTACTACTACTACTACTACTACTACTACTACTACTACTACTACCAACAGAACGTGTCTAAGTACCAGTTTATACCCAAGGAAACACCGCATCGTCGGCAAAAGCGGGCCTCCGCCGGCTGTGTAGGTGAAAGGCTCCTGCCCTGGGTCCTGCAGGGTTTAGGGTTTTAGGCTTTCGGGTTTTGGGTTTAGGGGGGTTTTAGGGTTTAGGGTTTAGGGTTCCTGCCTGGGTCCTGCGGAAACTCGCAGTGACTTAGAGGTCGCCCTGAGAACGTCTCCACTTGTACTACCATTCCCATTCTTGACATTTGCATGGTGGCTGATAATATACTAGAATATAATATACTGTAATATACTATAACATGAAAACATATACTCTAATACATTACAGTATACTACAATATACTACAGCATACTGTAATAAACTATATCATTCCCGGGCTTCAGGGTCCTTGGTACTCCAGAACTTGGTCTTGGTGTCCCGTACTAGGCCGGTCGCATGGACGGTCACCTGCGCCATCGCTCTGAGAAAATGCGCGTGCTGGAATGCTCTTTCGAGCTAGACCATATTCTGTCGGATTGTAATATATCGACGTACAGCATGCTACAAACCAATGTCATGCAGCATTCTCACTAGCAAGGAATGGAAGTGCTGTGCTGGCGGTGGGTGGCGGTGGCGGTGGCCGGTGGTGACCATGCCGTCGTTGTCACTGCTCCGCCTGCGAGTGGTATAGTGCTCTTGTTTCGTAGTTGCCTGCTGGCTTGCTCGCTGTCGTTCGTTGGTGGGTGCTGCTGGCCGCAGCGGCCACTGGTGTTCATGGTGCCGGTCTGCCCATCGATCTGGGAAGCGAGGACGGCAGCTTACACCCTGGATCCAGGAACATGGTTCTGCTTCACGGCGTAGGATTCGTTCTCGGACTCCTGCCACGCAAGGAGGCGGAAGTTACTAACAGGCATGGATTCGTGCGCATGAAGACCATGTGAAGTCCCGACAAAAGAGTGATTTCAGTGGGCTGCCTTTGATACAGCAGGTTTTCACGCACGGCATAGGCATCTTGCGACAGACATTTGCAGGTGAAACGCTTCTGTCTTGGATGAGTGGGAACTTTGCACTGCACAGCGCTTGAGCTGGCATGTTCGCATTCGGCGGGCATCGTAAGATACTCCTGGAATCATCTGGAATCCCAATACAAGAACCTAAGGATATCTGAGATGGACAGAATCTCAGAGAATCACTGCACCGGTCTCTGTATGTATGTATGTATGTATGTATGTATGCATGTATGTGCGTAGGTATGTACGTGCGAATGTATGCAGGCAGGCGAGCAGGGTGGCAGGTAGGTAAGTAGGAAGGTAGGCGTATATGTACATATATTCACACAAACATATATACATGTGTATGCACCAATACTTACATCGATATATCTACATATATATGTATATATACATTTGTATAAAACACACATATGTCGGTTTGTGTGTGTCCGTGAGAGAGAGAGACAGAGAGAGAGAGAGAGAGAGAGAGAGAGAGAGAACAAAGAGCAGGTGTGTATACACATATACAAGGATTGAGATAGGCATATGTAGGTGTTCACGCAATGTTGTGTTTACTAAAAGCACTACACGGGTACATCACTGTGTCACATACCGGTACAGAACACAGCTTAAACCGAATATAGTGGTGCAGTGTGACACGCAAGCTGATATATCCGGACAGACAGCAATACATAAGGTGAAAGCAAAAACAACCACGCCCGATGAGTTCTGTCGAAATATTATTGGGAGCAAAAAGCGTGCACTTGCTTGCTTCGTTATACAGATACATAGATACTGGTATGGACCCAACTGACTGTACTCTGAACCAGCACGATGTCATGCAAAGAACAGGGATGGTTATCGATAATGTTTACTATCACCAGATTCATCATCATCGCTCTTATCCCTCTTTGTTGTCTAGTTGAACCTGGCATGTGAGGGAGTATTGGACTAATGTAAGCTGCAAACACGCTCGGTGGCGAGTCACCTACCCTCATACATACAAGACAGCACAAGTCTGACGGGTGACTGCTGAACATACCCCCTATCCTTGCAGGGCTCTGTCATGCTCCCAGCGGAAAGATACACAACATCACAGACTGCTCTGCTTACTGAGTTCCCTCCTCCGACTCGCCATAGGTCTGCTCCCAGGTGGCAGGCTGAACCTCATCGTCGGCAGAGGCCTCGACACCATTCGCGCGAGCCTCTTCCAGAATAGCCGTTATGTTTGCACCCCCGGGCTCGCTGGTCATTTTATCGATCCGGCAACCCATGATCAAGCAGTCTCTGCCTTTGCCGGGATCATTGAACAGCTCGTGATACCCATAGCCGAATAGCTCTTGCATGACGCGCTGGGCTCCTTCTGGATGCGCATCCGTCAGAATCCCTGCGACGGCCTCCAAACACATGAAGATCGGGCCATTGTTGCTGTCACCATAGTGGTTCATGAGGTCACTAAACCGCTTCGCAAGAATGTCTATCACCTCCATGTCTCCGACCTCCACGAACGCAGGAACAGCTTTGGTTGCGTGAAAGACGGTCTTGACAGACGTGGTGTTTTCTTCTGTGACGAAGTCGATGTATGAGATCTTTTTGAGCCAGAACTTGAGCACCCTGACAACATCGGGGTCTCCTCGCTTGGCGATCCGCTGCAGGATCGTGATCGCGATGACAGAAGCCACATCTGGAAAGCGCTCTGTCTGTGTGCCATAAGGGTCCTTCCGCTCCTGGTCCAGGAGACGGAGGCACAAGGACCTAACCTGCTCCGTCTCTGCAAGCTGGCCATCATCGAAGCCTTCCAGGAAGCCTAGCGACGGCAGGAGTGCGGTCTGTGCCTGCTCAAGCCATTTCCCGTGCTCCTTCGTATCTACCGCCGCCGGACACTTGTCGAGACAGCCGAGGCACTCCTCGGCGTAGTTCTGCGGACCCAGCACCTGTAAAGTCAAATCGGCCTCGTCTGTGCAGAAGGACTCGATACAACCTTCGGACAGGACGTCCTCCCCTTTCAACAAACGAAGAGAAAATGCCGGCTTGCTGAGAGCTGTTGCAAGATCTTCCCGAAGCTGGGCCACCGTATGGTCCAATGCAACTTCGGCGGGACCCCAGCACTTCTCACCCGCGAGGTTGTGAACGGTCAAGACAGGCATTCTGCTGGACAAACATAGACTTCGCTTGAGATGCACATGCCTCCAACGAAGGTCTAGCGATTCGGCCTTGTATCCAGATAACCTACTGCCCGTAGGCATTCAAACGGCAAGACCAGTGCAACACCATGAAGAGAAGCCGCGATCTTGCAAGATATTTGGCTGTTGTGGCTTTCCTAAATTACTTGTCTCGGTCTAGGGTCTCGGACTCGTCCATAGCTTGACCGACTCATTTTAAGCTCATGCTCTCGCACACAAGAGTAGCGTAACAGTGCCCAATGGTGGAAGATGCCAGAAAGCAACATGCAAGACATCCCAACCGCACACTTGCGAAGCGCTCCTTCTCTGATCCTTCCTCGGCAAAGGACGCAAAGTCGCTGAGGACCAAGCAAACGGTGAACGGTGCTGCTGTTGGTCGGCTCCTGCTGGTAATGTTGCAGCTGCGGGGGGTTGCTGGTGTTGTTGCTGCTGCTGGTGTTGTTGGTGCTGCTGATGTTGATGGTGTGGCTGGAGTTGCTGGAGTTGCTGGTCTCTTCGCCGCTTTCCCTTTTGAGCTGGGGAGTTCTCTTCCACGATGTAGGATTCGTTCTCGGACTCCTGCCGCGAAAGGAAGTGGAAGTTACGAACGGGTGTGGCTTCGCGCTCTGATGTGCATTAAATAACCAAGGATGTCCCGACACAAGCTGATAATTTCACAGGCTTGCTGCTAACACAGCGATGTTTTCACTCACGGCACAGGTCTCGGGTATCTACTGCAGACGTTTGCATGTGAAACTTCTTGTCTCGGATGTGTTGCCATTTTGCATTGCTTCGGCGGGCAACAAACCCTGCGAAAATAGAGGAAAAGAGGTGGGTCCCGATATATCGTAGACTGTCTCTATGCGCACCTTTGGAGCTATCTGCCCCTGCAATTTGATCTACGATTCGGCATAAGTGTTCTCCCAGGTGGCAGGCTGAGCCTCATCGTCGGCAGAGGCCTCGACACCATTCCCGCGAGCCTCTTCCAGAATAGCCGTTATGTTCGCACCCCCGGGCTCGCTGGTCATTTTATCGATCCGGCAACCCATGATCAAGCAGTCTCTGCCTTTGCCGGGATCGTCGAACAGCTCGTGATACCCATAGCCGAATAGTTCATGCATGACGCGCTGGGCTCCTTCTGGATGCGCATCCGTCAGAATCCCTGCGACGGCCTCCAAACACATGAAGATCGGGCCATTGTTGCTGTCAGAATAATGGTTCATGAAGTCAGAAAAGCTTTTGGCAAGAATGTCTATCACCTCCATGTCTCCGACCTCCACCAACTCGTGAACCGCCTTGGTAGCGTGAAAGACGGTCTTGACAGACGTGGTGTTCTCCTCCGTGACGAAGTCCTTATAAGCGATCTTCTTCAGCCAGAACTTGAGCACCCTGACAACATCGGGGTCTCCTCGCTTGGCGATCCGCTGCAGGATCGTGATCGCTATGACAGAAGCCACATCTGGAAAGCGCTCTGTCTGTGGGCCATAGGGGTCCTTCCTCTCCTGGTCCAGGAGACGGAGGCACAAGGACCTAACCTGCTCTGTCTCTGCGAGCTGGCCATCATCGAAGCCTTCTAGGAAGCCTAGCGACGGCAGGAGTGCAGTCTGTGCCTGCTCAAGCCATGTACCGTGCTCTTCTGTATCTACCGCCGCCGGGCACTTGTCGAGACAGCCGAGGCACTCCTCGGCGTAGTTCTGCGGACCCAGCACCTGTAAAGTCAGATCGGCCTCGTCTGTGCAGAAGGACTCGATACAACCTTCGGACAGGACGTCCTCCCCTTTCAACAAACGAAGAGAAAATGCCGGCTTGCTGAGAGCTTTTGCAAGATCTTCCCGAAGCTGGGCCACCGTACGGTCCAATGCAACTTCGGCGGGACCCCAGCACTTCTCACCCGCGAGGTTGTGAACGGTCAAGACAGGCATTCTGCTGGACAAACATAGACTTCGCTTGAGATGCACATGCCTCCAACCAGCTCATCAGAATCTGCGACTCACGAAGGTCTATCCATTCGTCGCTGTCGCTGTACCAAGATAACCTGCTACCCTATTGCATTCAAGCACAACTCGACTGCTTCACGTGGTAACTCGCGGCGATCTCACAGGTCAAAAACACTCTGGTGCAAGAAAGCATTGTAGTAAACATTCTCACTGAGACATCCAGACGACACCTACATCTCAGCCCACACTTGCTAATCCGTCGCTCCTTCTCCACGGGGTCGCGCAGTAGACTTGGTCGCGCAGAACCGAGGAAAGAGAGAGCCTTTAATCCTCCAGCCTTCTGTGGTGGGTCTTCAGAGAGTAGGGTTTAGGGCGTAAGGGTTAAAGTTTAGGGTTTAGGGGCTGCATCGGTGACATAAGAAGCGTTGATGCCAGGTGTTGGCAAAGACCGGAACAGGAGATAGAGGAAGTTGGGGTCAACAGCATGGGACACTAAGGGGACACAGCACCATCGAACGTAAGGGCCTTACCGCAGTAAGTAGAATAAGGCTTTTGGCTGTATCGTGCAATAAGTACAATAAGGAGCCCCAAGGAACAACATTGGTAATCACTATGGTCCCTGAAATGCGAAGACATTGTTACGAATGACAACAACCGCCGAAATAGCAATAACAATGGCAAGAACAATAACAACAATGACGATAATGATATCAAATAAAAGTAACAATAATGACATCAACAAGAAAATTAATATCAATAGTAGTAATAGTAGCAGTAGTAGTAGTAGTAGTAGTAGTAGTAGTAGTAGTAGTAGTAGTAGTTGTTGTTGTTGTTGTAGTTGTAGTTGTAGTTGTAAATGTAGTAACAATAATAGTAATATTAAAACTTATGGTACAATAATAATAATAATACCTGTGGTACAATAGAGACCTTGCTTGAAGCGAAGTCTTTGGCCTCGTCTCCCGGCTCGACGTAGCCGTAGCCCTTAGCGGTGGTAGGGCTTTAGGGCTCGAGGGCTTCAGCGGTTGAGGGTATAGTATGATAGGGGCATATGATACTATAACCCTCATAAGGAACTCCCAGAAGTAGAATAAGTCATATTTTTAAGGCCCCTATAGTACAGGGTTCAAGAGCTTCCAGATTCCCACCGATGCCGCTATCGGAGCTGCAAGACGGGCTTTGAGGAGTATATAGGGGCCTTAGTCGTGAGAATAGGGTTCCCTTTAAGGGCTCGATTAAGGGATCGATCTATAATGGAAATACCCAATATAGGGGCCATAATAATTAGAATAGGGTCTTGGGGTCCATCATGCTATAAAAAGAAATCAGGAACCCCCCCCCAGATAGCATAGGTAATTATTTAGGCCCTATAGTATTTAGGTTTTGCTGAAGCCTCCCTCATCCTCATGAAAACTAGTTTATGCGAACCGTAGGGTAAATGCTGCACAAGTGGTTTGACTGTTAACTCACTGGGTACAGACCCCTGCTCGATTTAAGGCATCATGTTCCTTGGCGGGTCCTGTGGAAAAGGACCCTTCATTGCCCACGTGCAGGCATCAAGACGGCTCTGGACATACCCTGTACGGGTTTGGTCCTGCGACAGCATGTAGGGTCAAAATCCACACATAGCCGATTGCATAAGATCTTTGCGATGTGTCAGCAGGCAAGTGAAATTGTGATGCTACAGGCCTAATGTGGACGTCGGGCGTTTCTGAACGATAAATCATCTGCGTGGTGCCCCTGAGATAGGAGGGTCACCGGCGTGGAGTTCGATGCGTGCGCAAAGCTTCTCAGCTCGACGAACGAAAGGTGACGTACACGGGTAAACGACATCAGAAGAAACTCACAGTTGAACCCGGGGTTGAGGTTGGAAAGCCCTTCCGCAAGAGCAAAAACCCCTCTTAGGTGTTCCCCGGCCGCTTACGTATTCGCTAATTGCGTGCCCTTTCGTGCCCTCCCGCGGCGCAACCGCCTTTCACAGCCCTTCCGTGTCCTGCTGCACGCACCATCCCAGGAACATGTTCAGGTCAAAGGAAAGCGAACGCCATCAAGAGACGGGAAATCGGAAAAGAATGCTACTCAGCAGAGTTAGGCCCAGTCGCCGTGCCTTCCTTCAAGACCGTGTAGATCCTGAGATGTGAGGCCATCCTATCAAGAGATCCGGCAGACCTGATGTTCGACATCGTTACCATTGCTATGTTTTGTCCTTTATGATGATGCTTAGCATTGTGGTGAAGAGTGGGATTCTTGTGCTACCGGACTAGTCTTAAATCACGAGTATACATATCGCTGTTTTTGATCCTGCTATCAATGTCAATACTAGGTCATACTTAAATATTACTAGTCTTGAAAATTACTGATAGCATCTGCTTACCCAGGTACAACTACGACTGCTTTAGGTAATACCGGTACTATCGACGGCGACTACTATGACTACTACTACTGCTGCTGCTGCTACTACTACTACTACTACTGCTACTATTGCTACTACTACTACTAAGAGCGTAGTGCATAATTGACGCTATGCTTTTCCTCACTTCACATGCCCAAAACACGAGTTTTAAGCTAATTTCACTAATTCTCTGGGGAGCGGGGAATTCTGGAAAGCTTCAATTGAGAGAATTCTATCTGTCGGATTTGGGCTTCAGGCTCAGAGCGAGGATGTCTTTGGGTTTTGGGCTTCAAGGTTGACGGTGGGTGTGTCTGGTATCGAAGGTTCGAGCTGATGAGGCCTTGGATTTCGTATGAGGGCCTTGGATTTCCTATGAGAGCCTTGCGTTTCCATGAGGGCCTTGGAATGTATATTCAGTATTTATTTTTGGCTTGGCTTTGGCTTGGCTTGGGGGGGTGGGGGGGGGCTTGGGGCTGGTGGGTTGGGGGGGGGAGTTTCGGGTTTTACGCTCAACCTTTAACCCTAAACCTTTCACCCTAAACTTTTACCTAAACCTTTAACCTTTGTCTGCAGTGCATCCGCCAGCTCGCTTCGCAACTGCCGGATCAACTGAGCTGCCGCTGTGCCACACGTCTCCACGCGGTGCCCCGTGTTGCCACAAGCAACACACAGGTGAAGACGCTGCTTGCCCTTGTTGCGCCCACGGACGAGTTTGCGAGCCATGGCTCAGAACTGCGCTCCTTGTGCGGGCTCCCCGTTAAAAACTTCCTGTTGTTCTGGCACAACTCATATAATTAGATCCGAGCTGATTCACTTGCTGACAACCAACATAATCCAAATTTCCCCGCTCCCCTGACAAGGACCCCCCCTGTCCTGCATACATCGCAAATTACAGTGTTTTCTGTCTGCCAAGTGCACGAAGACGCAGCGTCAAATACGCACTACTACTACTACTACTACTACTACTACTACTACTACTACTACTACTACTACTACTACTACTACTACTACTACTACTACTACTACTAGTACTACCATTACTACTACTACTACGACGACGACTACTACTACTTATCATTACTACTACTACTACTACTACTCCTACTACCACCACCACTACCACTAACACTACCACACCCCTACCCCTACCGTGACCGCGACCGCCACCGCTACCGCTGCCACCACCACCAGCAGTTTATTCTTGCGAGCATCCTTGGTACCGCTCAGATCATGAAGAGTAACGACTACTTGTAGAAGCAACAAGTGGGCAATACAAGCAAAAACGATGATACAGTAGCAGTAGCAGCAGCAACAACAACAACAGGAACAGGACGAGTAGTCTCGGAGGAAGCCACTCCACTTCTCAGGTACCAATGCCTTCAGTAAAAACTAACGGAAGCCTGGAGAGCCTGGAGTAGGCATGTACCTCTGAAACTCTCGAAGGCGAGTGTCGTGTTTGCACCCTCAACGGGCTGATACACAAACTCCTGCGGCGCCTGGCACGCGCGCGCGCCGACGCTTGGTCATGCTCATCAACATGAGTGTGGCAAGATCTCAACACCCATTGCCTCATCCTCCTCCTTCGGCTGCTCCTTCTTGAAACCTCCGCGTCTCAATTGGTATTCCTGGGCTGCTAAAATGGGCAGACCAGGCAGATCACTCGTCACCACCAGCAATCTGCTATACCCTTGGTCTGCATGACCACATCCAAGCTACGTCGGCTTCTTCAGGCGTCATGTTCTCGATTTTCTCGATGGTGTCCTGAGAGCTAAGGCCGGAGGGAAAGCAGTGAGAAAGTCTGACAGAAGTCTGACCGTCCTCGATGTTGGCCAGCCCCTGCAAAGAGGATGCCTCCGTATTCCGAACGAAAAAGTGGGCTTCCTTACCCCTGTCACGCTAAGTTTCCCACACGAGCTCCTAGCCATCGATCTGGCTCAAACGCAAGGCTGGAACCAAGACATAGATATGCGCCCACGTACACAGCATTCTGACTGTGGCATTGCGACCACAACGAAAATCATCATCATCATCTTCATCATCATCATCATCAAACGATAATGATGATGACGAAAAAGATGATGAATGTTGATGATGACGTAGCAGTAGTCTAGTCGTGGTCGATTTCGTGCTAGTGCTAGTACTTAGTACTAGTACTAGTACTGTTGATGGACAAAATCCTGCATTAACCATTATAAGGAATACACCATAGTTCCCATAGTTTAGAGTCCTTAGGGTCATGCAGGATTTTGTCCATCAGCAGTGGTACTATATAGTACTAGTACCACTACTACTGATACTCCTACAGCCACTACTGATACTACTACAGCTACTACCACCACACAACAACAATAAGAACTACTACTACTACTACTACTACTACTACTACTACTACTACTACTACTACTACTACTACTACGACTGCTGCTACTACTACTACTACTACTACTACTACTACGACTGCTGCTACTACTAGTACTACTCCGGCTGCTGCTACCACTGCTGCTGCTACTACTCACACTACTGCTAGTAGTGGTACTAGTAGTAGTAGTAGTAGTAGTAGTAGTAGTAGTAGTAGTAGTGGTAGTGGTAGTGGTAGTAGTAGTAGTAGTAGTAGTAGTAGTAGTAGTAGTAGTAGTAGTACTAGTACTAGTACTAGTAGTAGTGGTAGTAGTGGTAGTAGTAGTAGAAGTAGAAGTAGAAGGAGAAGGAGAAGTAGAAGTAGAAGTAGAAGTAGAAGCAGAGCTAGAGGTAGAAGTAGAAGTAGCAGGACCGGTAGCAGTGTGAGTGGTAGAAGTAGTAGCTGTAGCAGTAGCAGAAGCAGTAGCAGTAGCACTGCTGAGCAGCAGTAGCATCAGCAGGAGTAGGAGAAGGAGTGGCGGGAGTGGTAGGAGTGTGAGGAGTAATAGAAGTAGGAGTAGGAGTAGGAGTAGGAGCAGGAGTAGGAGGAGGAGGGGTAGGAGGAGGAGGAGCGGTAGGAGTAGGAGTAGGAGCCGGAGTCGGAGTCGGAATGGAAGTGGCAGTAGGAGAAGTAGCAGTATTAGCAGCAGTGGCAGTAGTAGCAGTCGTGGCAGTCGTGGCAGTCGTGGCAGTAGTAGCAGTAGCAGTAGCGGTAGCGGTAGCAGTAGCAGTAGTGGTAGCGGTAGCAGTAGCAGTAGCAGTAGTAGCAGTAGTAGCAGTAGTAATAATAATAATGGCAGCAGTCCCTGTAGCAGCAGGAATCGCAGTCGTCATCTTCGTAGCATCTGCCGCAACAGCAGTATTAGCGTTGTATTCGGCGCGCCTTGGCCTTTCCACTTGCATCAGTTGCTGGAGAAAGTCTCGGCAGATCGTGTGAGCGCATATGTGAAGTCTACTGGGCTCTTGAGGCATCCGTTCTAGGGGTTGGAAAAGGAATACTGAGATGTAGCTAGGATTTTGACCGTCCGGATGTCTACTTGGCTCTTCGCTAGGGTGCTGCGGCCTTCTGCCCCACCAAAGAGCCCTTGTGTCCTACACCTGACTGCAAGTAGTGACGGCCTTGAAGGGAGCTCAAGATTCTTCACCCTCTTTGTAGCTCCACCGGGCAGCGAGAAGACCCAGAACACGAAGCCAAAGCCCAGAAGCACGACCTGGGTCTCGGATCGGGGAAGAATCAGAATGAGAGTAAGAAACAAGAACGGGAAGAAGAAGAAGAACACCAATAGTTAAGGACAACTAATAACAACAGCACCGCTAAAAAGAAGAAGAATAACAAAAATCATAACAATACAAATACTTACGCTCTCTTCCAGAGGTTTAGCCGCTGGAGCCTTGTGAGCCAAGGATGCCTTATCTCCAAAGACCAAACAAACTCAAGGACAGGGTTTCGGGATTAGGATTTAAGATTTAGGGTTTCTGGGCTTAGGATTTAGGATTTAGGGTTTAGGGTTTAGGGTTTGAAGGTTTCGGGTTTAGGGTGCAGACTCCAAGGACATCTAAGCGCCATTCAAGCCTGGACCCTGAACCCCAGACTATGAAACCATAGGTATCACGTATCAGCAAAGATTCAAGCATGCTATCCGACGCAGTGCTACAGTCTGTCTGTTGTGCAGTACTACATCGCACCTGCACGTAGATGCTAGAACCAAGCGACTAAAATCGAAACCCCTAACCAAAGCATCTTCTGCACTTTGCAACCAGCTAGCCCCAACTCCCACCACTGTCAGCATCGTTCCGGCTGGATCGCCGGAAGCCTCGCCCGGGGAAGCAAGGAACAGATGAAAACAAGAGATATCAAATTACTCGAATCTCATCATGGCTTTGGTGTCAACAGACACGACCACGATCAACGACCACCACTACTACTACTACTACTACTACTACTACTACGACGACTACTACTACTACTGCTGCAACTGCTACTGCTACTGCTAGTGTTGCTACTACTACTACTACTACTACTACTACTACTACTACTACTACTACTACTACTACTACTACTACTACTACTACTACTCCTGCTACTGCTACTACTACTACTACTACTACTACTACTACTGCTACTGCTACTGCTACTGCTACTGCTACTGCTACTGCTACTGCTACTGCTACTACTACTACCACCACCACTACCACTACTATCGCGACGGGCGAAGGGAACCGATACAGGCAAACCAGCATCTGCAAGTGCACAAGCCCGAGCTGTAAGACTGGAAGCATACCCCGATCTCGTAGAACTGAGTACAGCCTGGGTTTGGCCCACCTCATCTTGTGCTAACGCTGATGCAGGTGCCAGCACGGCCGCTGCAGCCGACAGTCTCGCAGCAGCTGGCCTCCCCACTCAGGGCTCTTGGGAGCTACTACATCGTTGTAGAAACGGAACACCTCAAACAAGGGAGCAATAGCCATGAGCTTTGGCTTGGCAGGACGCTTCTGCTTCTCATCGCAAGTCCAACGGCCATTTAATTCATTTCCTACGATGTCATCCACTGTAAAGGTTGCAAAAGACATGGTTCTAGGCACAGCCCCCTAAATGCAAAAGAGACGTTAGGATCCAAAGTGCCCTAATCGTTGAATATCCCCCAAACCCCTTAACCCTATAGATCCCTTATAGATCTCTTTAAGGAACCCTTATAGATCCCTTGAAAGCCCTTATAGCTCCCTACACAGGGACCCGGCAGCCTAGCAAGCCCTGGTAGCAGGAAAGGAAGGCCAAGCCCGGCGACCAGGGCCTCCGGAGGTCTTGCAAAGGAATGAGGATTTGGGAGTTTCCGAAAATACTGCTCATGGACAAAATCCTGCATTACCCATTATAAGGAATATACCATAATTCCCATAGTTTAGGGTCCTTAGGGTCATGCAGGATTTTGTCCATCAACAGTAGGGTGTCCTTTGAAGGGTACTTTATGTGAGTTTTGGGGTTTAGGGTTTAGGGTTTAGGGGACCCTAATATAGTACACTACATAGTAGGATCCTTATTGCAAGGAGCCCAAAATACCCCAAACTCTTGGAAGCTCCCACTTGAGACTTGCGCTTGGTCTATCTGTCTTGTCCTGCTGTTGCCGTACAATCGCTTTGCACTGCGACTCCCATACATAAACATAAACATAAACATGTATGTATACATATACATATATATATATATATATATACACGTACATATACATCTACATCTACATATACATATACATATACATATACATCTCCATATATACATGCATACGCACATGCATGCATACATACGAACATACATCCATGTATATATATTAATATGTGGTCATGCTACTACTACACTGCCATTATGCTGACGTCTTATACATGTTACAGTTTCTACTACGATCAGACTGCACTCAAGTGCTATTCTATTCGTGCTGTGTTCTTCTTCTTGCAGTTACAAGAAGTTGAATGTATGCTACTTCCTCTTTGCTACAACCACAATGGCAGCAACCGCGAGAACACATAGAACCCCAGCAACCAAGAACAGTACTACACAAGCTGTGCATGCTGCTTACTAGTATGGCTATGACGACGACGATGATCGCACGAACACCACCACCATCAACGACTACGACCGCCACCACGACCACCAATATCAGCACCATCAGGCTACTCTGCAAACTGTCCCGTGCTGCTGCATTCATTGCGACTACCCTACATGCTTGTCCTTCTATGACTCACATACAGGAACAGAGACGCCAACTGCTTTGCTTCTCGTCCTCGGAACGATTCACAGAACAATCGCGCGAGATATCACAACATGTCTCAACAAGCGACTGAAGATTGAGGAGCCCAGCTTGGTGGAAGTTCTCGCCACTATTCGTGTAACATGCTCCCGCCAGCTGTAGCAGCGCCGCGCTCCTCCGCAGTCGCATGGCCGTCGGACGTGACGGATTTCAGGAACAACCCTGCAGCGATATCCCAACAACGGAAGCCTCGTGACAGAGTCTCCGCATAAACAGACTCGAAAACCACGATCAAGTGATCCGTGGAGTCGCAAACTGCATTGCGTGAAGATGAGTGTGGCTAAATAGGCTCGAGACAATGATGTGCGCCCTTCCAGCCTCTGTGCGGATTAGCTGTTTGCAGTGCTGACTCTGCAGCAGTTGCTGAAGCTGTGGTGGAACTGTGACTCCAGCAACAGCTAAGCCAAAGCTTCCGGCAAGAGCAGCCAGGCAGAGGATTCGAAATCATGCCTACCAGAGTCATCCGGCACAAACTGGCACAAACTCAAGATTCTTCTGCGCGCGTCCAGTCCTGCAGGTTCATTCTCTCAAACAAAA